CTCCTATGGCAGCCAAAGGGGGGGATATGATCTTTCATCGCTTACAGGGACATGGATCTTTGCCGTAGCTCGACGCTGAGCAAGGGCCATAATCTCTCCGGAGCACTTACGTCCTGCTTGGCTCGATCTCGCCAGAACGGCACTCATTCCCACCACTTCGCCGTCTAAAGCTACTGGCTTGGCTTGAAATGGCCTGCAACAGAGCATCCGCCGCTTGTATGCTCTAACTCCAGCAGGCCTAGCTCATGCAGTAGCAATATACCAGACAACTTGGAGGCCGCGTGTCAATCGATGGCTCGTCCTGAGTGAGCCAACTACGCGGCCCAAGAGTCGCTAAAGGAAGGCACCATCAACTCTGAGCATCATTGCTCATGCGTGGTACGACATTGGTAAAGAACTGGTGCCTCATGAATAACTAATGCATGCTTAATTAGAGGCAGCCCGCTATACAATTACAAGTATCCCGCGTCGGTTTAAGCACCAAGTGGCTCCTCGATCCTCCATCCGGAGTACTTCTAGTCCAATCGAGAAAGTAGGGCCGCCACCCGCGAACCAGGCACAGTAGGTGCTGATCCAATTCGGATTCCGCGTACTCCTGATAAGATGATGCCTAGTACCAAGTGGTAGTAGCTGTTGTGCCTCCTGCGAGTATCACACAGCATGATCCGGAGAAGTCTCATGGAGAGATTGCCGTTCCAGCATAGCACACCGGATGCCGCATGTTCACCAGCAAGCTGCTGCCGCATGTCAGCCGCGCAACCTGCTCCAAGACACCAAGCAAAGGCCCCACTGGTATGTCATAGACGACCATATGAACGATATATTTGGAATACCCACAATGACATTACTTGGCTGAGGCTTCACTCTCTGCTTGTGTCGGCGGCAAGGAACACTGCATGGGGTGTAACACTTCAGGTTGCGCCACGCAGCCGATACATCTACACCCGAAATCCCAGAGACTTGGGATGCTGTTGGGCCATGGCTGATGGGTAGCACAGCATTGCCGATGACCAACCTGCCGTTTTTTTTCTTTTTTTTTCTTTTTTTTAAAAAAAAAAATCGACAGCTGTCGCGCGTCCTGATGTTGGGGATGTCTTAGTTCATGCAGCATCGGTGTGACAGCCAAGACCAAGTTCACATTTGCCCAAGAGAAGGCTAACGCATCATATTGCCAATCTGGCAAAAAGAGTGAGATGAGCTATAACATGCATCTCTGTAAATCCTGTCGTGTTATCTCAGTGATAGAAGCCTGGCTGGTGGGTAGCTCGCTCTGGAAGAAATCGACATGTCATATGCCTAGCCTCGCGCGTGGATCACCACCAAGCCGATAGACCAGAAGAAAGGCAAAAGGGCAGCAAATTCATTGGCCGTTACCACCTTGTTACATCACTTGCGGCGGCACCTATGCCAAACCCAACGGGTTTAACTCACAATCCAGGCACACAGCCCCGAGAGATACCTGGTCAAGCCCCGCTACATGTGCGATATTCAGCTCTCTTTGCATATCGAACCTCGACAGCCGTGGCGATTTACCCTGTACGTCGGTTCTCAGCCTCAACTCGCTTTTACGAAAGTGTTTTCTTTTCTTTTCTTTCTTGCTGAACCTCGTATTTTGGTCCCTTTTTACCTCATTGTTCTCTTTTTTTTTTTTCTCTTCCACATATCCGGCCACACATATCTCGGCCCTTCTCCCTCTCCACGCCAAGCCCGAACCAGGCAAGTCGGCGATGCTGCATACCAAGGAGTACTCAACCAGAGCCTCACATTGTTTTCGCTCTTCGGCTCGAACTCATCCAAGTGTCGACTACGACAGGCAAAAGGTCCTAGGAGCTACTATTGCGAACCGAACATGATCTGTCACTTGGAGCTAGTGTTCGTCAACTGACTCGGACGTAATTAATCGCAAGAAACTATCAATCCGGGAAAACACACCACATCTGGACTGTACTTGCTTTTGCCTGTCCTCTCCGCTGTTAGTGTGCCTGCACGACTAAACATGTATGTCTCTGCCTGTTGGCTGAAGATGTATCAGCTGGTGAGTGATGGCTGGTGAAACAGACAGGTCTAACAGAGCTGAGTCTGTGCTGATGAACGTGTTGCCGAGGAGAGCGAACCCTTTGCATCTCCCGGGATATACGTCAAGTTACGCACTCAATTCAGCTGCTGTCACTTGCCTATATACTCGGTTAATAGCAACCCACGCCACCACGGGCCAGAACCTCGAGGCAAATTCGGATGTTGGGGACCCGTCAATTGGGGTCCTTTGTTTCCCCCGCTCGAGCCTCTGACCCCTGTCTACCGGCCCGCTCCATCTCCATCTTCTTTGGAGGGGGCCTTGGAGAAGGCGGACATGCTTCCGCAGGCACACACTGCTTGCGGGAATAATTCAGTTTTTCTCATCTTCTTGTTGGGTCATGGACTACAGCACCGCCCTTACACCGCGTTCGCCCTCCCACATCCCGCCAACGCGGATATCCAAAATCAGAGTTTCCACTATCCGGACCGTCCCTTGACGTGCGCTGCTCCGCTGTGCTTTCATGATAACCTTAATGGTAACGGTCATGATGGATTTGTCCAAGATAAATATCTCCCATCATCGTCAATGGTGTGGCCTCACGGGGCGGGATAATCCAGTGTCTTGACATGACCGAGGGAAGCCTGGTAGCCGGTCTTGGAGCTAGTCATGCCCTTGGTTGGTTCATTAGCCCTTGCCAGAAAACCTCCGTTTCAGTGTAGAAACAAACCACGCAGTCTCAGCCCGTCCAAGTATACATCACCTGCAGGTATATACCCGGCCGCTTACTGGCAGCGTCGTATTCCTACCATATGTCGGGTGAATACCAACGCGGCTCCGAGAGAAGCGGGTGGACTGTGCGCGCGAGCACATGTATCAAACTTGGGAAGATCAAGAAACGCCACTTGCGGTGGATGATGCCCCATCCCGAACATATTCGGCGACCTCGGGCAAGGCAAATTACCAAAGAGGTGGTCTGGATGGGTGTGCCCGGGGCTGATGGCAGCATTTCCGCGATCTCTCCGTGATCGTAGCCGCTCTGCTAGGGCTACGCCATGCTGCTCCGGTATTTACAACCCCATTGAAAAGGGCACTAGCAACGCTATGTTGGTCCAAGGATCATTTGCTTTGGGAGTCGTGGCAGGCTGATACTCCATGGGGGGCGTCCCAAGCATCAGGTCCAAGCGTTGGCTAGGAACCAGGGTGATCAATCTCTGATCCAGGGGGGTCAGTGGAGGACCAACTGAGCCGAGAGCATGGTACTGGAATCACAAGGCCATACGGGTGCCACGTCCTCGGTATTTCTGGATGAATGGAGAAGTGAGCACATATTCTGGATGGGCGTCATTGGCAGCAGACAGACCTCGTGAGCGAGAGGTACGTCTGTGTGTCAACTCGAGTGACATGTATGAGCATGACACGACTGCTAATACGTCCAAGAGATTCTACTGATTTAATCTCACGCCCTATTATTAATCCCAATTTACGACCTATCTTGTAGAGATGATATCTGACAGAGTTTGTAAAGTTCCCGGCATGCTAATCTGTTCAGCTCTACTAGCACACTTGGCCGATGATAGATCCATGCCTCAGCCACCTAATTGGCTGATTCAGGGATGAGATCTAAGCACGAGGCAGACACACTGTCAGGTACCGGGAGAGGGCGACAGCTTCGAATAGTGAGCCCCCCCTCCAACCCTCGGGATCTTGGTGTGCTCTTCCAATGGGGATAGCGTCGATAACCCAACACTTGTCTCCTCGGTTGACATGCAAAAAGCGTCTCTCGTGTGGGGGGAAGCGAGGCAAATCATCATCACAGGCCGTGTTCCAGACAATGGGGGTTTCAGATCAGGTCGAAACTGTATTGACATGACACTCTGAGGGGGAGAAGATTCGGTAGTGACAATGGTCATCAAAATGAGCGTGTCTATGCCAAGAGCCCTCCCTTGGAGTTCGGACGTCATAGCAGCTCGGCTTTCTCTCGCGTCCAATCCTCAGAGTCCCCCCTCCCCTCAAGCTAGATTGGAACACGGAACAAGTCAATGGCAACGAAAAAAAGAGGTCACAAGGTGCTTCTCCTGCTACTCATTGGCCGAGATTTGGGACGGTCTTGATGGACCAAATGAAGCCCGACCAAAGTGGACTTTTTTGTTTTTTCCCTCTTCTCACCGGTGGTGGCTTGACCTTTTTTCGTTTCCCTTGCAGCAGCAGGTTTGAGCGCCAACGAGACCGGTGTGGCGGTGGCCAAGGATTGGAATAAGAGTCTAACTTGAGAGAGAGAGAGAGAGAGAAACAAAAGGATAGGGCTAGCGTGGCGATCGTCACTCTGGGGTGGCCTGGCCTGATGAGCTGTTCTACCATTGGATTGCAGGAGACCGTCGCTTGTGAAAAATAGTTCAGAGAGACCATCGCTTATGAAAAGAAAAAAAATAGTGAAGAGAGAACAACGCTTAGGGTAGATAGTACTGCGATCGTGTCCATAAGCGATGAGAAACTTGACCTGCGGCTCTGCCTTGGAATTTTTTCAGCTGCACTAGGTGAGCTACTGTTAAGCAATGTCTGAGAGTGGTGTGATTTCCCTTGGATTTGCATTGGCGGGATATGCATGTCTCAGTGTGGTTGCGATAAGTGATTGCGCGGGGTTGCGAGGTTGCGGTTGTAGGGTAGGTCGGTGTGGGAGTTTGCAAGATGCTACGGGAATGGTGATTTTGGGAGTAAAGGGATATTGCTGGACTTGTGTTGTTATCGTCATTGAAACTGATGTTTTTTTTTTCGAGAGTAATTATCGAGTTGAACGGAAGAGATGTAGGGTGGAATATCATCTGTGTTGTTGTTGACATCCTCATTCTCAACCCTCACCACCCCTGTCACTAGCACAACCCAAACCTCTAATCATTTATGTAAAGGGAATCAGTCAGACGTGTGTGTAGATGCTCCTCCACGAGCCAACAAAATTTCACTTTTTTCTATTCGACTTTTAGATGCCTTATTCCATGTTTACATCCTCTCCCGTAGCGGCGACTTCTGCATCCATATCGTGCAGGACCTCTTCCATTTCCGCCTCGGTCGCCTCTAGACCTTCGGAGCTCATGAGCTTGTTATCCTTGTCCTCGGCTATACAGCAGTAACATATTAGTACACGTAGAAATAATGGTAGAATTGCCAGTGACAGAGGGAGAAAATGAGAGATGCTTACTGCGAGGCTCAACAATGAGGTTCTCCTGCACCTCACAGTCCGTGAGGACGGAGCCCGCTCCGACGATACACCGTTTGCCCAGGATACATCTTGTGAGCTTGCATCCTTTTCCAACAACTACGCCCTCCATGAGAAGACACTGAGACAGCTTGGCTCCTTCGTTGATCTGGCAGCCGGCGCCAATGACAGTCTCCTTGATGGATGTCTTTTCTTCAACTGTGACGTTTTCTGCAATCAAGCTGTCCTGCTTGGTGATGGTGGTGCGGGGCTTCACGCCTTCGGGATACGCGACTTTCTTTGGGTGAGCATATGGAGAGGGATTCTCGGCATCCTCTTCGATGGAGGGAAGCTTAGCTAGTTGAAGAGAAATGGCAAGCAGTAGCTGTGCTGTGTCGACACGTCGCACTATTGAACCAGGGACTTGGTCCTTTTGTGAATGAATGTAGGCCAAGATAGACGGGGGTTCGAATTTTGATGCCGCCGAGGCGGAGCCATTCTTGTCGCCCGTATACTGACCATCCGCGGCAATGTTGATTGATGAGATGGATTGTCTCGAGTTTTCCTGGTTGCCGGGAGCGGATTCGGCCGGTGATGACCTGCCTTCCAGCTCAGACTCATTTTCATCGCTGTCGTCGTCACCAGCGCGGCAGACCTCACTAAAGGAGAGCTTCTCGGCCAATCCAGATTGCCATCCCGCCTTGGCCCACCACCCCACGACATCTTCGCCGATGCTCTCCAGACGCTCATTCTTCTTGATGAAGTCGAGGATCCACCGGGGAAAGATGTAAATGTGTGCGTCTCTGTGAGTTGTGTACATGCGAACTCGGGGGTTGGCCTTGACCAGTCCGTGCCGTATGGGAATGGCCTTCCTCTCCTCTGTAAGATCGTTGAATGAATCTGTGGGCATGGAGTATACCAGTTTTGACACATTGGGGAAGATGGACCCTTTGGGAGGAACTGAGGGAGAAGTCGGCAAAGGAGCTGTAGCAATGAAGTCCGTCTCCTCGCCCTTGACAGGCGCACTGGCTTTTGTGTTGTACCACACACCGAGACCGCCGCTGTATCGAGTCTGATGGCCGTTTGACAACTGTTTTGCGCCGAGGAGACCCGTAAGGCTGGCAGATTTCACCATCCAGGCCTGGAGCAGCTGCTCACCAGCCAGTTCGCAGACGAGATCGCATGGCAAAACGACAAAGTCTCCTGTTACTAGCTCTCTAACCTCAGGTAGCCGTAATATCTCAGCGGTGCCCGTGTTTTGGTCTAGATCTGCGGGAGCCAAGACATCTGGCCGTGGCAGAGGCAAAGCTGTGAGATAGGGATTGGTGTTGAGAGCAGCTGTCAATGCCTTTGAGGCTGATGGGGGACAGATGAGAGTTATGCCTAAGAGGAGGTGTCAGCCGCCATCGTTGGATCCGAAACATCTGGGGGTCATCGCCGGAGCGTAATAGTACGACCGCGTATGCGGGATACGGAATATTAGGGCGTGGATGTTAATGTTGCACGAAGAATGAAGCTCACCCGCTGAGACAAATCTCAAACAGGAAAAAGCAGAACTGGCGGGATAAAGAGGCGCGCTTACTTGTGATGCCGGTACGGAGACAAAAGTCGATAGGGTACCACACCATAGGGCGGTTGGCAATGGGTAGCAGAGCCTTTGGGTTCTCATCTGGGTTCGAGGTGAAGGTTGGGAATGACGAGCCAGGCCCACACAGAATGAGGGCTTGAAGCCCGGTTGAGGCCATCGACAAGGCGTGAGGCATCCTGGTTGGAGGGGTCTGTGATGGCGGACAGACACGCAGAATAAGGAAGGGCTGTGGCGGCTTGTTGACTGGGCTATTCGAAAGATTCAAAGACGGTCACGGGTGCCTCAAAAGTGCCTGTCGAGTGAGGTGAGAATGAGATGCAGATGTCGCCTGTAGACGGAGAGTTGACCGGGGTTGTGAATATCTTAAAAACTTCCCCCACTTGCAAGTTTGAAGCGAAGAGTCATAGCTACAAGGCAAGGCTGAGAGAGAGTTTGTGTGTGTGGCACAGCTTGCAATATTGTGGCTGGTGGCCTATCATATCGCTGAGAAACTCAACCAATCACCGCGCGGGATTCACGTGCACGCAGCCTCGGTGGCGCGGGATTCAAATTGCTCCACCGCCGCAGCAACCTCGGGAGCGGCGCGTTGCTGGGAAGAGAAACTCCACATTGTTGACATGAAGCAAGCTGAACCCCCAGCCACCGACTTGTTGCGACACACCTTGGACTTGGACTAAGCCGGGCTCAGCTCTTCCCCCACTCAGCTCAGCACTTACAAGATCTCGGTTGGGCTTGTTTATTCAGTGCTCGTATTATTATTGTTCTCTCGCATAACCGCGGCATCGTGCATTCTGCTCTTGTCCTGCATCTTTGCTTTGCAGCTCCCTCGACCGCCCTCGGATTGGGCATCTGTAGCCGTTCGTGACCGCAACCTGCAAGCGATGCCACGCTCTTCCGCCTAATGTCGCCTCCTTACGACAATCACGGCTCCTCCCGCAGGCGAGGCGTCTGGAGCCATTGGGTGCCTCTTGCCATCACCCTGACCGTTGCCACGGCCGGCCTCGCCGCTTGGGTCTGGAGTCAGCGCAAGGAGACTGTTGAAGACCACGCCGAGGCAGAGCCCGACTTGGACTACGAGAATGCCGACTATGGCGAGAATCCAGCGTACGGCGCCGAGAACAGCAGACTGGCGCCGCCGCCGCAGCAGGCCCAGCGCGACGGCTATGCGACCGGCGCCGAGATGGCCGAGGGCAACCCGGCGGGATGGGGGACGCGAGTGACGAGCGCTTTTACGTCCCAGCCGCAACAGTTCTTCGACTCGACTGGAAAGACGGTTGCGGCCGGAGTCGCTGCCGCCGGCGCAGCTGTCGGCAAGGCGCTGGCCTCGATCCGCGAAGAGGATCGGCCCGAGCACGAAACGGGCGCCTGGCCTGAAGAACGAGAGCTCAAGAGAGAAAAGGGACCCGCGCCTAGCCTGAGGAAGCGCAAGACGGTCGCCATTGTCATCTCTGCCGATTCTCAGTTTACCGACGACGACGATGACATTGCTCATGAGCATGCCGTGAGTAAACCCCTGTTTTGTTTTGCTTGTCGTCGCCGCCAGCAGCTGCTGACCAGTTGAAACAGTCGATCCTGAGCCACATCCCCAAGCACAATGACCTGTCTGCCATCAAGCTGTTTGTCCTCATCTATGCACCAGGCCTAAAGGACAGCACGGTTGATGCTGCTACGAGTAATCGCCCGCCTCCTTCGGTTAGCTCGTCATTCTCTAACGTTGGATATGATCAAGCCCAAACTCCCGAGGCCAAGAGCCCAGTGTAAGCCCCCCTTTCTTACCTTTGTTAATTCATGGGATAATGCTAATGGTTACATCTTCGTTTAGCCTTGGTGCTACGGCAGAAAACACCTTGTTCAATGCCGTGTACTCGCATGCCTTGGCTCTGGTGGACAAGGAGACCATGATCCTTCCCTTCACCACCGCCAACGGCCACACGCACATCCTGCGCCACCTGCAGCCCGACATCGTCTACCTCCAGGAGTCGCTTGCCGGCGACAGCGGTAGCTACATCACTAACATCCAGACCTGGCTCCGACACGACATTGTCCTGGTTGTGGGCGCTGAAGACGGATCTGGCGGCCTGGCTGACAGCGAATCCGAGGCCGAGAGAGCCGACAAGGTCGAGAAGTGGTGGCAAAAGCCCGAGCGCGTCGGTCGCGGACGAGGCATCATTGTTGTCGACAGCGTGCGCGTTAATGATGATTGGGCGCGAAGAGTTCAGAACCGGGAATGAGGCTTAGACGGTACGTATCAGGATATTAATGAAATGGAAGGGAAGATACCAGGACGTTGATTTTGTAAACTTGTATATACATATTTTTTGGACTTGATCTTTTATTCTTACCAGTGCGACTTAGTGCTATAGTTACTCTCAGTTGGGGAGAAGAAGAGGATATCGCAATTGTAACGTACCTGTATCTATGGCATGTTTATAAACACCGTGTCTACTGATTTGGCCCACATAATACGGATAGAGCCTGGCTAGAACTAAAGGCCCATTTGTTAAAGTTCAAATACGCCTGACTTTGAGTTCGGGATTTGATTTTTGGTTGCCATCTTGATACCTGTACTTGGTTGCTGTGGTGCCTTACGTTACTACCTAGGTAGGTAGTACCTACCTGTAAATATAGGTAAGGTACCCAGTAGTAGCCGGCGCGGGCATATATATCAACTTTACCCCCCTACCTGTTCAAACTTCCTTTTTTATTATTTATTTCCACAGCTACCTTGCTTACATCTCTACGAAACATACGTATACACCCACCGGCATTGCTCTCGTGAAAACGCCTCTCTCTCTTATACGGGTACTTTGCGAGTGGTTGCAAAAAAAAAGGGTTGAGGCGGGGTCACGTGATAGGTGAGCCTCGGGCTTTGTCAGTAAGTTCAACGTCTGCTCAACTTCACCTCAGATGGTTTCCTGATGCGCAATCGCCAAGTCGCCGGCAGAATCCAACTACTCTCCACACTCTCGTTTCTGCTAGACGTCGCCAGCGGCTCAACCATCACCGACTGATGGATCACTGCTAATCTCGACCTCTTGCGCCTCTGTTCGGCCGTGGTCACCGGATCCACGCTGAGCAATCGTCTCCACAACCCACTAATCTCGCGCCGCGACTCCAGCTTCACGTCTCGTCATCCCGAACTGCAATTGCGGCGCAAGTAGATGCTTGCGATCGACGCCGCGAGACACGCCCAGCAAGCGCGGTAGAAGCCGGGGTCCCCAGATCCTGCAACACGCGCGCCGTCGTGCATCCGGCGTCACGATGGCACCCACAAACGTCACCACTGCCACGGCAACGGCCACCACCACGGCGGTGCAGCAGAACGGCTCGACTAAGATTAAGCGACCGGTGCCGCCGGGCATCCAGACCAACGGGGCCGCCTCGTCCGCCTCATCGCCTTCGCCGTCCATGGCGAACAACAAGCCGCCCAGCGCGAAGCAGCCGCCTAATTCCGCCAGCGATCGGGCCATCACGGCCTCAACCGTCCGGCCCATGGCCCGGAATCGTCGCGATACCCTGGTTCGCGATACCCTGAACCAGGCAGCCGGGCGCAATTCCAGAAACAGCGCGGGGATGCGATCGGCTTCGTTCGCAGCAGATATGGCGGTTCATGGCTACGAACCCCCACCATACGGTAATATCATCATGACCCATGTTGGCACCATGTTGGCGTGACTCTAACAAGGCATCCATCTACAGTTGTCACCGATGCGTACGTATTAAAGAAGCATTTGGGGCGACCCCCATCGCTGGTCGTCCATATGCACCCCTCACATTTCCGCTTCGATGGTCAGGACGGCATGTTCCAGTATAAGTCGCCGATGAGGATGTTTCTCGACCATGTGAAGAACCGCACGATTCCCCACGATCTTCTCCCCTACTTTATCGAAGGCAACGTGCCATTCTACGAGGGATGCCTCATTGTACAGATTCACGACCACAAATCTGTGGCCCAGGCGAAGGGCGTCAAACGACCTTCATCCGCCTCCAGCGCCGTTGTACCGTCGTCTATCCACAACTATAACCAGTGCCTTACGCCTTCACCCCACGTGCCATACCCCAAGGAAGAGCAGAACACCGGTGAAGTGGCTGGGAAGCCAAAAGAAGAAACTTCAAAGGATATGGATGTCGATGAAAAAGACGCCGATAAAGAGCCTACGCCAAATGTGCCTGTGGACACATCAAACAAAGTTGCCGCGAAGCCAAAGATTTTCACTGTTGTCCTTCACCCGACGGCCGAGAGCATACAGATGGATCTCGTGCTCAGAGCTTCCGCTTCCAAAATCACCGGCGATGCCCGTACTACCAATGACAGTTCGGCCATGGCACCCCCATCAACCCCCTCAACATTGGTGCCGCCAACACCCACTACGGCAACTATGCAACCGCCTGCGAAAAAACAGAAGCGAGAAAAGAACGAACTGGATAGAAATAGCTTATATGCTTTCGAAGGCCAGGTATTACTCGCAACCAACGCACCTCTAATGCTTGAGCCGACCAAGAGCGCAGAGGAGACCATTGCCCTGCTGGAGGAATGGTCACATCCCAGCCACAAGGAGGACCCGCCCAAACCAAAGATGCGCAAGAGGACTGTGGCCGAAATGGCCGCCGACGAGGCCGCTGCCGCGGAGCTGGAACGGTACATGCTTGTTCTGGACGATCGCCTTGCCTCGAACTCTACCGGTGCCCAAGGCGCTGGTGGCGCAGATGGAGATGGCGCAACTGGCGCAGCTACCTTCGAGCCTCGATTCGAGCGCTTTAAGCTCATTGAAGATATTAAGAGAGAGCACGCCGAAAAGAAGGAACAGGAGAAGCTCAAGCAACTTGAAAACGACAGAAAACTGCAGCTCCAGAGACAACAGCAACAGCAACAACAGGCAGCAGAACTCGCTGCCCAGAGGCAAGCGGAGCAAGAGAGGGCGCGGCGCGAAGCTGCGGCGAGAGAGAGTCAGCTTCGTCAAGCTGAAGCAGCGCGACAGGCAATGGCTGTTCGTGCTGCAGCGTCAACTCCCGTAGCGCAGGCCAACAACAACCAAGCGCAAATGAACCAAACGCAGCACGCTCACCCTTCCGCTCAGGGCGGAGTGGTGACCAACGGTATGCAAAACGGCGTCCCAGCAGTTCAGCAAAACGCGATGCCAAACAGTATACCTGGACCAGCCCAGGCCCGTTTCCAAGCCCAAATGTCGCAAGCTCCAGCGTCCTCGCCCGTCATCAGGCAGGGAACTCCCCAGAATATGTCGTCGCCGATGGTCGCAAGCGTCCCTATGCAGCAAACCAACTCCAGCATGGCAGCAAGCCCTCCTCGGCCCGCTTCTGTTGTGCAAAACCCGCAAGTATCGGTGCCCATGGCACACGCCATGTCTTCGAGAAACAGTCAACAAAGCCATCCGTCCAACACCCCTCGTATTCCCCACTCGACGCCAAATATATCCCATGCCACGCCTATTAACCGGCCGACAATGGTTGCAACTCCCCGCATGACCCAAGCGAGTCCTCCTCCTGCTATGATGGCCCAGAACTCTCAGATGGGCCAGCAGATGATGATGAACAACCAAGTCATGAACCAGGCCAACCCTCAAGTTATGGCCCAGATGGCTCAGCAGGCCCAACAACGAGCCATGCTTCAGCAACAACAGCAACAACAGATGGTGGCCGCGGCTCTGCAGAATGGCAACTTTAATGGCGTTAACATCGCTTCACAAGGCGCAGGCATGACTCCCCAACAGCAACAACAAATGATGCAAATGATGCAACGGCAAATGATGCTGCAACAGCAACAAGCGCAACAACAACAGCAGCAGCAGCAGCAGCAGCAACAACAGCAACAGCAACAGCAACAACACCAGCAGCAGAATGGTATGATGAATCCACAACAGCAACAGCAGCAACAGCAACAGGCGCAGCAACAGTGGGCTCAGCAATACGCTCAACAGCTGCAGAATATGCAAGGTGCTCAGATACGCCAGATGACACCACAAATGCAGGCTCAAATACAGCAGATGGCCCGGATGGGCCAGATGAATGGACAGCTAGGAAACATGATGCGGGGCCAGATGAATGGGCAGATGATGAATGGTAATGTCAATGTCAATGCCAACAACATGCAAGCCATAGTAGCCATGCAAATGCAGCAGCAGCAGCAGCAGCAGCAGCAGCAGCAGCAACAACAGCAACAACAACAACAACAGCAGCAGCAGCAGCAGCAGGCACAGGCCCAAGCCCAAGCCCAAGCCCAGGCACAGGCTCACGCTCAGGCGCAACAAGCTCAAGCTCAGGCACAAGCTCAAGCCCAGGCGCACGCTCAGGCTCAAGCTCAACAAGCACACGCTCAGGCTCAAGCACAAGCGCAAGCCCAGGCACAAGCGCAAGCGCAAGCCCAGGCGCAGCATCAAGGGCAAGGACCTCAGCAAGCACATGGCAATAATACTTTACACGTGCAGATGCAGGCCCATGCTCGCCTTGTCTACAATCGCCTGATGGGAGTGGCGGCAGCTAAATTTGGCGGTCCTGAAAACATACCACAGGATACAGTGGACAAAATTAAGCAGCAATCCTATGCGCAAGCCCAACAATCAGTGAGAGACTTGGTCCAACGGAGAGCCCAGCAGCAGCAGCAGCAGCTCATGATGCAGCAGCAACAGCAGCAGCAGGCAGCGATGCAAGGCATGGGCGGGATGATGGGGCATCAAGGAATGTAAATACGGGAAGAGGCGTGTAACGAAAAAGAAGGGAATGTTGAAACCTTTCAGAGGAAGAAGCACGCAACTCTGGGCGATGCCAAAGAAGGGAAATGACGGCTGTCGACATACATGTCTTTTTTTCACACGGAGTTCAGGAGGGCTGGTTACAAATTTCGGCAACGTCAGGATTTACCGCGTTTGGGCAACAATGTTTTAATACCCTATGGAATGATGCTTTCTGTGGTGGCAGGTTAACCACGAGGAGCTTGGTTGATTTTTTTTTGGTTTTTATTCTGTTTTATTTTTCGTTTTATTTTGCTCCTTTTATGCTTCGGGAAGAACGGGGGCATAATATATGCCGGCTTTTGGACGGGCTCATACGAATCTAACGAAGTCGCTCGGCAACTGGCTTTGGAAGGGGGTGTCCACTAGGATTGGTGGTGGTAATGGAGTTGAAATGCTTGTATATTACCGGTATTGGGAGCAGCAGAAACTTGCGTATTGCAATAAATGAAGAGTTTGACTAATTTCCCTGGTGTATGGTGAAGATGTATCTGTCTTTGGACATGGTGGTTTGCTTTGGTTTGCTGAGATGTGATGTATGGTTGGGTTAGTATCGAGGTACGCTATGTTAGGTGCCTTGCCTAATGCGGCGATGCATTGTGTACCTAGGTAGTACCTCTTGTTGGTGCAGTAGTGCGCAGTAGATTGGATGGATGGCTTTGTACCTACATCCAGAACATGCGTCTACTATGACCTTGGCAGCACAGTACTGCTACTTGTTGCAGGCTAAGGTGATGTCTTGATTCCATTGCCCAAAACACTCCCGTCTGTACTCACAACTCATACCTAAATAATTCGGAAAATAAATAGCTCGGGTACTACCTAGGTGTGTCCTCTATCCCCTGTAATTATCCCACTCTATACGCACTTGCCAACGTATTGTAACCCCCTTTTTCCCGCTGAAATAGCTGCTGCACACCGCTTATAAAACAACCGAACGAAAACCCGTCGTCCAGCCCCCGAAACGGCGGTGTCACGTGCCGCCCGGCCTGTTCGGGGAGGTCCCCCAGCAATGACGGAGCGTCACGTCAAGCATCCAAGCGTCCAGCTTTAGCCCCATTTGCTTTGCGCGAGAGCTTGACGTGATTCCAGGCTGAAGCAAATCCCGTGCTTCTGCATCCGCATCCGCATCCGCATCCTTTCAGCAGCCATTCTTTTGCAGCCGCTCCAGTGCCATCGCCTTCTGCCAGACTCAGACTTGAACATCGCTGTCGGTTCAGTTCCGTCTTTACCTGATCTTTCTTGCGGGGGGGCGTCTCTATCTCTGTCGAGCATTCTCCGTAATCTGCCTCTTTGATCCATCGCCGCCCCTGTTTGTCTCTCTCCCCTCCGCCTCGCCGTACTTTTGGTTCCTTTTTTTTTTTCTCCTCCGTCACGATGCAACCTCCTCGGTCGTCGGCGCTGCTGCTGTCGCTGCTTCTGGCGGCGCCGGTGCACGCAGCGACGATGCTGAGCTGCAACAAGATCCTGTTGGACGGACACAACTTTGATCTGTCGCCGCTCGGAGGGCCGCACTCGGTGGTGACGTCGCGATTCGAGTCTAGCACGGGAGCTCACTCCAACACTACGTACACGGTGGACATTTGCCAGCCGCTGAAGAAGAGCGGAAAGGCAAAGTCAAAGGAGGAGTGCCCCAACGGAACAAGAGGTTTGTTTCTTGGTCATTTTTTTCTTCGCTTTCAGAGTCTCTAACCCACGCTCGCAGTCTGTGCCATTACCCGGTTCCTCAAGGACGACCAAGACTCGGTCACAAAAGTCGTTGCCATTGCGGGTGGGCTTGAAAACGCTGGCGGATCGCAATTCGAATACGAGGCGACGAGGCTCAAGAACAGCGACTCCAACTCGGACTCTCAGAAGGAGGGCCTTCGGCTGGTCCTCAAGGGCGGTAAACACCCTCTCACCGGGCCCGTCTCCGAGCGGAGGACGCAAAAGGCCGTCATCGAGTTCCTGTGCGACCCCGAAAAGACTGGCACTGAGGGCGAGTGGGCTTCTGAGGATGAGTACGAGAAGGCTCCTGCGACGAGACGACGAGCAGAGGATGACAAGGGGGACGAGAAGGACAAGGACGATGACAAGAAGGAAAAGGATGATGGCGACAAGGACGACGACGGAAAGCAGGACTCGGCCATTGAGCACCAGCTCAAGAACGAAAACGCCGCCCTCATCTGGGAGGATTATGCCAAGGAGAAGGACGGCGACGTGCTACGGCTGACTTGGTACACCAAGCATGCGTGCGAGAAGCGTGACGGCGGCAAGGACGAGGACCACGAACCCAGCGACTCGAGCGCAAGCTGGGGCTTCTTTACCTGGTTTGTCATCATGTAAGTGCAACGCAAGCTGCTCCGTCTCCACGCGGATTTGAGGCTTTTGACTAACAGCTCTGCAGCGTCTTCCTTGGCATTGCCGCCTACTTGATCTTTGGCTCTTGGCTCAACTATAACCGCTACGGCGCGCGAGGCTGGGACCTGCTCCCCCACGGCGACACTCTGCGCGACATTCCCTACCTCCTCAAGGACTGGACGCGCCGGGTGCTCAACACCGTCCAGGGCGCTGGCAGTCGCGGAGGCTATAGCGCTGTCTGAGCGAGAACAAAAAGAATGCATTTTTCACGGCCCCAGGGGTGAATGAATGGGCGGGATAGGTGGGATACGACGCGATGGCTGCGAACAGGGTTATACAATGCACAATGCTTGGGGTTCTTGGTATCTTTTCTTTTCTTTTCTTTTCCTAATCCCCTTGTCAGTTTGGCAAGGCGGCGTTCTGGTTGCATACTAAGACTTCGTTGCGTTTTGTTTGGGCGGTATTTGTAGAGACTGTATTTATTTATTTTTTTGGGTTCCTACTATTGATAATCCCATACGAATATGTTTTACCATTTTTGTTGCTTATTCACTCGTGATGCCGTTACTGGATTGTAAATGATGAGGATGACAGGTAGTACATGACTTGGTCATGGAGTACGATATTGACATTGGATGGAGTATTATCCTGATACATGCAGCAAATAGCGGTCCCTTACAGAGCAAAAGACTCACACCCAGAGCTCGTCCGAGATCAAGATAGGAGATACGAATGACTCGGTCGATCCAACAGCCCAGACCAGACCAAATGACTCAATTGCATGCAGCCAAGCCAAGCCAAAATTTTTTTTGTGTCGTCACAGCACAGCACATGTTTGCCCAGGCCAGCCAGCGATAGCGGAGCTTTTATCGATAAAACAAACCAAAGGGCGTGGGAAATTATATCGCTCCCCACCAAGCGCCAGCTTTATAAAAGCGACTTGCATCCTCGGTCTCTGTATTTGCATTTGTACAAGAGGCGCGAATTGCGTTTTATTCTATTCTATTCCATTTTATTTCTCCTTCTTTTCTTTTCTGGGTCTGGAAATCATGGCATTGAGGGTTTCATTGGCGCGGCAGGTGGCTGGTTTGGCGAGGTCCGGGTTTGGCGGGCGCAGCATTTCGACGACGAGGGCGGCGGCGAGCTTGTCGGCCAGTGTGAAGCAGAGCATCAAGGTGAGTTTTGGTGATGCCTTTGTTTGAGGCCAGCGAGTCGATTGAATTTCAATTGATTGGCTGTCAACTGTTTTTGTGTTACGCATTTGGCTGACAACGTCTTTGGATTGCAAAGCGAGATGCAGCTCTACCGAACCCCGATCCCGCCACGGATTCACCCAGCGCGGCGCTCGTCAACGAATTCGCGCCGTACATGGTCGCGACGTATGCGCGGCCGCCGCCTGTTTTTGTGCAGGGCGAGGGGTCGTGGCTGTGGGATGTTGAGAACCGCAAGTATCTTGACTTTACGGCGGGAATTGCCGTGACGAGTTTGGGGCATAGCGATCCTGAGTTTGCGGACATTATTGCGCAGCAGGTAAGTTTTTTTTAGTTTTTTTTGCTGAAGGGGAGAAACATTCCACGTGTAGACTATGAGGATGAAAGGAGCTGATGTGATGGGGTAAAAAACTAGGCCAAGTCGCTGATCCATGCTTCGAACCTGTACTACAACCCCTGGACCGGCGCGCTGTCGAAGCTGCTCGTCGAAAAGACGCTCGAGGCGGGATGCATGCACGAGGCGTCAAAGGTCTTCATCTGCAACTCGGGCACCGAGGCCAACGAGGCCGCCATCAAGTTTGCCAGGAAAGCGGGCAAGATTGTCGATCCGTCGGGCGAAAAGGTGGACGTTGTGTCGTTCAACCACGGCTTCCACGGGCGTACCATGGGCGCCCTCTCCGCGACGCACAATCCAAAGTACCAGAAGCCCTTTGCGCCCATGGTGCCTGGTTTCAAGCAGGGCACGTACAACGACGTCGCCGGCATCAACGACCTGGTCGACGAGAAGACGTGCGGCGTCATTGTCGAGCCTATCCAGGGCGAGGGAGGCATCTACGCCGGCAGCGAGGAGTTTATGGTGGCGCTCGCCAGGCGATGCCGTCAAGTCGGCGCTGTCTTGATCTACGATGAGATCCAGTCTGGTCTCGGACGTACTGGCAAGCTGTGGGCGCACGGCAGCCTTCCCAGGGAAGCCCATCCAGACATCTTGACGACGGCCAAGGCGCTCGGCAACGGATTCCCCATCGCCGCCGTGCTCGTCACCGAGGCCGTCGCCGAAAAGATCAAGCTCGGCGACCACGGCACCACTTTCGGCGGCAACCCGCTTGCCTGCCGCCTGGCGCACTACGTCGTGTCCAAGCTGTCGTCGCCCGAGCTCCAGGAGAGCGTGGTGGCCAAGTCCAAAGTCTTCACGGACCGCTTCGCCAAGCTGCGGGCCAAGTTCCCGGAGCTCATCACCGAGCATCGCGGCCAGGGGCTCATTCTGGGGTTGCAGCTGACGGAGGATCCTTCGGCGATTGTCACTGCTGCGAGGGAGAGGGGGTTGTTGGTGATTACGGCGGGGACGAACACGCTGCGGTTCTTGCCGAGCTTGGTGATGACGGAGGAGGAGATTGAGCATGGGTTGGATATCTTGGAGGAGGCTATTGTCGCTACGCGGTCGTAGCGGTGGGGATGTCGTTGAAGCTCTCAATGTTTTTATCAGCACCTGGTTTTATGGTTTTACATGTATAATGTTCTGGCGGGTTTCAGTATGGTCACGGGTTGGTTGGGAGTCTTCAAAATGTATAAAAGGTGTTGAGTGTTAGATATGAAAAGCATCATGATCGTTTCATTTACAAATATCAATGTTCCGAAAGAGGAAGAAGAAAAGTAAAGAGATATGTCCCATATAAAAAAATACGGATATTGTCGTTTCAACCTCTCACGGTCAAAAGACTGAAGTGGCTCGGCAACATCACGCCAAAAAGGTGTAAGATGAGACTACGGCCAAGATCATTCTTTTTCATAAGCATATTGTGGTATTTACTATTTCCTCCCCCTATCCCATCAATTTTTTGTTCTTTTCTTTCTTTCTTGTATATTCCAAATACGCCTCTCCCCTCCCAGATTAGCAGATGGCGTGCGTCTTCCCCGTCTTTCCCTGCAAAGAGTGTCCCTCGCCCTTTACACACACACCTCTGTTAGTTTTCAAACAGCCATTGTATCCTTTATTCGTACTTACCGAGTAGTGCTTCGAAGCATGATGTCTGCTCTGATGCTTGTTCTTGCCATGCGACGCAATGTGGTCCCTGATGAATGCCTCCTGTCGCTTGATGGTCTCGGCATCCGAGTTCTCCAGCATGCCCAGGCACAGCTTGATGTCGTGAATCAGCAAGTCGCAGCGGCTCTTGGAAAAGTCCTCGCGCACCACCACGCGCAGCATCTTCATCTGCTCCGTGTGCGGCGCCATGGTGTACGCGGGAACCACCCAGCCCCTGGACCGCAGGTGGTGGGCGAGGGCGAACTCGTCGTAGTGGCGCTCCTTGCCGCCCTCGGCGGGGGTCTTGAAGCGAAAGGCCACGAGGGGGAGCCCCTGGCCGGCGCGCTCCGACATGATGACGAAGCCGTCGCGCTCGAGGACGTCGGTCAGGTAGTCGGCGGTGCGGGTGAGGTTGCTCATGATGGACTCGTAGCCCTTCTTGCCGAGGCGGATGAACTGGTAGTACTGGCCGATGACCTGGGAGGCGCCCTTGGAGAAGTTGAGGGTGAAGGAGGATTGCTCGGCGCCGAGGTAGTTGATGTTGAAGATGAGGTCTTGGGGGAGGTACTCGTGTGAGCGCCAGACGACCCAGCCGACACCGGGGTAGACGAGGCCGTACTAGTTGGAGATTTTGATTGTTAGAATGAGAAGAGAGAGAGAGAAGGGGGATGGAGGAAAACGAAGAGCAAAAGACGCGCATACCTTGTGGCCCGAGACGTTGATGGAAACAACCTTGGGCAGTCTGAAATCCCACTCCAGGTCCGGCAGCACAAACGGCGCAACAAAGCCGCCGCTGGCAGCATCTACGTGAATCGGCACATCCAGGTTCTTCTCCACCAGCAGGTCGTTGATCCCCTTTACATCCTCGTAGTGTCCCGTGTAAGTCGTCCCCAAGATGGTGGCAATGCCAATCGTGTTCTCGTCGACCAAGTCCACAGCCTCCTGGGGATCAATCGTGTACCGGTCCGCCGTGCAGTACACGTACTTCTCCTCGACCTCGAAGTAGCGCGCGGCCTTTTCCCAGCAGACCTGGACGGCGGAGGACATGATGATGTTGGGCCTGTCGGCGGGCTTGCCCTCGGCCTGGCGGCGCAGCTTCCAGCGGCGCTTCATGGCGAGGACGCCGAGCATGATGGCCTCGGAGGAGCCGATGCACGAGGTGCCGATGCTGTCGCCGCCGGCGGGGGCGTGGAAGAGCTCGCCGATCATGTTGACGCAGCGGTTCTGGATGTCGGCGGACTGGGGGTATTCCTCGTAGTCGATGAAGTTTTTGGAAAAGGCCTCGGTCATGAGCTTTTCGGCTTCGTCTTCCTGGATTTGGGCATCAAATGTTAGGCCTGGATCAACGTTGGATATATGTAGGTTGAGCAGAAAACGCACCATGTAAGTCGTGACAAAGGAAGCCAAGCTACACATCAATGCCATCAATTAGCATCTCCCTTCTGTTCGTTCTCCCAATTCTTTTCGTATTAAAAAAAAAAAAAAAGCTTACTTGAGCTTGGGGTTGTTGTCCAGGCTGAGGTGGTCCTTGATCATGTGGTACGCAACGTCCTTGGGCATGGCGCCGCTGGGGATGCAGTGCTTGGGCAGGTCCTGGCCGGCAAACTGCGAGCCGTAGACGCTGGTGGTGAACTCGTCGGCGTAGCTGGACAGCTTGACCTGCGAGAGGCTCTTGTGCAGAGGCTTTTCCACGGAGAGCGAGGGGGCGCCGGCGGCTTCACGGCTGGAGGGCGTGGCCGAGCCGGATCGGCTGATGGCGCTGAGGTGGACCATGATGACGGGAGACGAGTTGACCTGAATCGGGAATATCAAAGTTGGTTGAGGATGGGGATGAAGAAGAAGGAAGAAGGAAGCAATTGGGAAAAAGAATTGGGGACAAGGGAAATATATATGGGCGAGAAGAAGCAAGCTCGAAAGATGACGACGATCCGGGCAAATTGGGCAGCGAAGCGGGTATTTCTACGGCTCTCCCAGAGCAACACGATACGAGGCCCGTTTCAACTACGCCATACACATCTGATCGGCATGTCATGATGAGGGGTTCCCAGAGGGTACCTGTACATGCTTGGACAGAAAGCAAGCAAGCAAGCAAGCAAGCAAGCAAGCATCCACGTCTCCTGACCCATCTCCTGCGTCTGTTGCAAACCGTCCTTTTCCCTTAACCAACTAGTCGAATGCAGGACGCATCACCAATGGCCGGCCGCCAACTCCGTCAAGCCACGGGAAGCTATTCGAGAGCGAGCTGAAGCTCCGCGACAAAGCTCCCAATGGTTGGGAAGCTGAAGGACTCGTCACGTCTTGTATTACACGCTTGACTTGAGCCTCCCCCCCTTCTCAATGTCAAACTACATTGGCCAACGCGTGTTTGTTCTCTCTCGGCCTCGTAACTCCGTCTAACTCAACACCCACGGGGCGATGGTGATTTCACAGCCCAGCTCCTGGTTTCTGCCCTGCCCCTCTCTCCAGTCTTCCATGTCATCTTCCCGTCCTTCTTCTTCTCCAATCCTTGCTTATGCCTCTGCCCCTCCCCCTCCATCCTGCAAGCTAGTGCTAGTCCTAACAACCTCCTGCAACTGCTTGCCTGCTCTCCATGCCAATGCTTCCCATGCAAAACTAACAACTTGGTTCCCCACCAGCGCTTCATCGGATCTGACGGCTAAAGTTCCCCAGTTGTCCAGGACACACAGATGATGTCGCTTTCGTCACAGCTTGGCGGCGGCCGATCCCATTTTCTCCATGTGCCGGCGACCCGGCCTTTGCAAAATTGAAGCTTTTGTGGCGGCCTCCACCGTGGCGTCTGGACGGAAAACAGATGGCAGATCGAATCGACAAACACTGCGACACTTTTGTTTTTGTTACTTCTTTTTTATTCTAATAAACGTCAGACATTGTTTAGGGCGGATTGAACGTGGCATGTTTCGGTGTACGAGTCGGGGGTTTTGCCGATTTAGACAACGGAACCCATTGAAAAAGTGTCTGATACTTGGCTGTACTTTATGCCCCCCATGCTGTACTATTACTCGCAGGCCTTTGTGTCTCCTCACTTTCTCCTTCATTGATTGCCCGGTGAGTTACGCTGAGCTGTTTAAAAAAAAAACGCATGAGGCATATCCGGGGAGCGCGAATAAGAGCCTCGTAATTTCAGTAGTGGTGTTTTACAGCATAGCCTCGTCATCCGAAAGGGGAAACACGGGTTGCGAAACACACCACATGGCATCTGACATGACATTGCCGAAGCTCCTTTTTCTTTATTCATGTTTACATTCAGCAGGTTATAGATGAATTGAACGGGCTGTGATTCTTGGCCGTTTGCTGGCAACAGGTGCTTTTTTTTCCTCATGTTGGCTTTTTGTCAAAGCCACCATGACTCGTATCGTAGTCTGTCTTATAAACCACGTAATATAAACACAATACGATACCGTTGATTGGTACATGTACAAACATCGGTTGGGCTTGCGCGCTCTATAATTCACAAAAAACCAATAAACAATAAACAAAAGAACCTCCCGTTTCAGCCCCCCCCAAATCATGCTACCCATCATTCATCATCGCCCGTGCTCGTCAACCCACTCGCGAGCCCGTGCATCCTTCGTCCCAGCAAGTCATCCGAGCTCGTCAGCTTCACCAGGCTCTTGTTCCCCCGAAGCCCCTTCTTGGGCTTCCTGGCGTTCTTCTCGCCGTCGATTGGCGGCGAGCTCGACTCCGTCGTCGTGTCGCCGTTTGTGTGGCCGTTGGCGTCCCCGTTCTGCTGCGTCAGGGTGCGTCCGCGAGACAACTTGGTCATGCTGATTTCCAGGGGCCGGTCTTCGTCGCCGCTGGACTCGGCCACCGACTGGCGTCGAAAGTCGCCGTTTGTTGTGTGTGTCTTGGGGGGTTCTGCTGCGCGTCTGGCTTGTTCTGCTCGCTGCGTCTCGGCGTCGAGGAAGAGCTGGTCGAACCAGGCGGCGCTGCGGTCAAAGTGCTTCCATGCCGGCGGGTAGACGCCTGGGAACTGCATGAAGCCGTGAGATGTGCCGGGGATGAGGAGCACCTCTGTGACCTCCTTGTCGTCAAACGCCCAGTTCTCGTCTACGACCGACGACCGGGAGAGCTGTCGTCGCGCTGCCGCCTCCTTTGCCCGCCGCAGACGCCCGGCGAAGACGACGGTGTCGTCGACTAGGGGATCTCGCTCTCCAGTCATGAAGTACGTCTTAGGGAAGTTTTCCAGCAGCTCCTCGGGGGCGAGGACCGGGCTTAGGAAATAGTCCTGCGTAAAGTCGGGGCGGTTGTGCGCGCCAATGTATAAGATGATCATGGCGCGCATCATCTCGGGGGTGAGGACCCGGTCGTTGAAGTAGGATATCATGGATGACGTCGCCAGGCGAGTCTTCATGGGCTCTGCGCGATGAGATACCGCTCCGTCCTTTTTCTCATCGGAGCTCTGAGAAGTAGTAAGTGTTTTGGGGCCGGCATGACAGTACTCGGGTCGCGATCCGCCATTCGTATTGGCAGGGGAATCGGTTGGCTGTTTGAGCGGAGGTGTCCCATCCTCGTCGTCGGAGTGATGCGGCGTTCCCACGAGGTCGTTGTACTGCATGCTCTTCCTCTTCATGATGGTTTTGTTCGTTTTCCTCATCCTCCTGTCTCGAATAAGCGACATTTGCTCATCCGACATCCAGTTTCCGATGTTCATGTCCAGCGTGGGATAGAAGCAGACGAGGCCGTCCGGGGGCGGCAGCTTGCCCACTCCTGAAGAGCGTCGGAAATGGCTGATTCCAGTCTCGAGCACCATGAGCGTCGTTGCAACAGCCAGGTTTCCGCCTGCGCTGTCTCCGGTAATGACGATTTTGGGAATCTCTTTGCCGGACATGCCGATGCATCTACCCCGGGACTTGACGAGCGTCACGTAGACGTCGAAGCACTCGTTTAGAGCGAAAGGGTACGGATACTCGGGTGCCTTTTTGTAGTCGATGCTGAGGATGGGCAGCCCAGTCTTCGCAGCCCAGGCAAACAGCTTGTCGTCGTTGCATCGAGGATCCATGGCCACGAACCCGCCGCCAGGAACATCCAAGACGAGCTTGTTATGGTGCTCCAAATCGGCAAGCGGGCCGTCGTAGTAAAGCCAAGCAGAAACGGCTTCTTTGTAATCACTGTTGGTAGGTCGCGGGATACGGACTTGTCTCGGCGGCCATCTTGTGAACCGCGGTCGCACAAGACGCTGGAGGAAGCCCAAGTACGGCGTCGTTCCCTTGTTCCAGGCAACTCGTAGGTGCTCGACCGTAATCATTCCACGGACCTTGCGGACCTTTTCGTCTGCCTTTTCGGCGGCGACGAGATAGTATAGAGAAAAGACGATGCTGGCAAGGTCACGCAGCCACTTGGATCGAATCTTCATGGCGGTCCAGAATCCGGCGTCCAACGCGGTCAAGATCCAAGTGGCCCGGTAGTAGGTGGGATCGTACATGTTGGCCATGGGCTCGGGACTGGCCAGGCCGACGAGTGCACTGAAGTTGCGGGCGGCGTAAAGGTATAGCATGGTGATGATGACCGTCTGCCATGCTGTCAAGCGTCGAGAGAAGAATTTGGAGATTTTTTGGGCAAACGATGGGCCGTGTTTATGGCCTCTGCAGCTTCAGTCAGAGACGGCTACTTTTATTGAGAGGGCGACAGACGTACTTGTAAAGGTAAAACGTCCAAAACGACAATACGGCCAGGACTTGTAGACGCCTCGACTTGGACGACGGCCGTCCGAGGACGTGGTCTATCATGATGCAGGTGGAAAGAGAAGAAAGCAGGCAAAATCAAGGGCGCAATAAACAGAGGCCGCGAGGGTATTTTGATCTATATGCGGGTGTGTAACGTCAAGTGTAATAATACATGGGTTATGTGCGTCTAGGCTCGATGCGACGGGCCTATTATGAGTAGTATTGGGTCGTAGGTGCAATGGCGGATCATTTCATTGAACACTCGAGTCTTCAATTGTTTGTCGAGGCTTTCAAGGTATTCGTCGAGAGAGCACGCTGCTTCGCTTCGCTGGGTTTTGTCTCGTATCCTAGATGCACTGGGCGGCTGTCATCGGATAGGGCGGTCGGTCGTCTTAGGAAAAGAAACGGAATCCGAAAGGGAACCCAAATATCCAGCCAATCCAGAGCCGGATCCAAACGACTAGAGGTCGATGCCTTTGAAAACGTTCCGTGCGTGTCGGTCGGAGGTGGCGATACCCAACTTCTTGACAGCAGGCAATGGTGTGGTGTGTAGTATTGATGTAAGAGCGTGTCCAGGGATAATGGATATTGCCAAAAGAAAAACATGGGGAGAGTCCGATTACGAGAGAAGCGGGATTGGAGCAAGGAGCAGGCTTGTGACAGGCACATGTCATGCCCAAAACCCGATTCTCGGTAGGATTCTCGGCCTGTAATGCAACGTCCTCGTGACGACGGTTGGAGGCGTCGAGAATGGCTTGCTGACATGTGAAACCAAGGGCCCAATGACATGCAGGCCAATCAGAGCGCTGCCCACAACAAGGAGACCCGGAATCCCCCCCACGATTTGATTTGGGCATGACGGGGTTTGTTCTTCTTCTTTTTTTGCTAGCACGGAATACGGGGTAAGAGTTGGTTGCGAATGGATGGCTTTGCTGAAAGCGGTGTTTGGGCAGCCGTTGAAGCAGGGCGAGCGGTTGTCTCAAGATTGGGCTGAGCCTAACGCCATGGCGAGGGTTGATGCAATCAATTGAATTTGGCTCCCACGTTTTTGATTGCTTAGTGATGGGTGTCTTTGCTTGGGTATGTAATCTGATGCTGCAATTACGAGTATGAAGTGCCAGGCTGAATGCATGCAGTATTTCGTACTCCCAGCATTCTAACTCGGCTCCGTCGGCAGGGATCAATGGCACGAGAACGGCACGAGTTTACACCGACATGGCGAGGGTCTCCTCGAGTACATGTTGATGCAGTCTCTTTGTCATCCGTTGAGACATTGACGTGTGTGATACCCTAGAGGGAAGCAAAACTGGTGTAATGGAATTTCTTCTACAGCTTTCTCTACCACAATGCTCATATCAAGAGCAGTGTACAATGCAATTCTATATAATGATTGCATATATACATATAATAACGGCATCATTTCAGAGCACGTCAATTGTTATCCATCTCCTCAACTACATGAACCAGCCAGGGCTATAAATATTGATCGCTGACAGCTCTGCGACGGACGGACAATACCAGGACTGACTGTCATGAAACGAACAACGCGCCAGAGCCCCTTACGACATTTCGATAATAAAAAATTGAACAAGAACATGAAAAGAAATATGGAAACCTCGGAATAGCCAAGCTATTGAACGAGGAGCTGGAGTTGTTGCTTCGGATTGCCCGGACCACCATAACATAAAATACACACTCTCCCCGTATGGCTCAAGGCCTCTTCGGCGCCCCTGGCTCGGGGGATTTCTTTTAGCAAAGCACATGTAGACTATCCGGATTCAAGATTGTCTATGAGCTCATCGGAGAATCTTACTTATCACAGCCTCATCCATAGATAGATCTAGAAGAGCCAATAATGCATCCTTCAGAGCTCATCAATCTTGGACACGGCACCTGTACTTGACATCGAAAAATGTTACTTATGACAACCGTCATGCCATCTCTCACCTTCTTTTCATCGTTGACCGCATAAACAGACGATGGGAATATTCTCCCGTAAACAGTCTCCGTGGCGAGGCCCAAAACATTGAACTGAGACATGCATCATGCTCCCCGTACGTGTCGCCAGTAGCATCACACAGACTCACTGCCGTGTCCTAGCTTGGACCCCGGAAAAAACAAGCTTGCTCATCTAGCTCATCAGCGCTAACCGCTAACCATCAAGATGGCCGATCTTGCGCATTCCATCCCGGCCAGATTCATCAATCACGGCTCAAACCGCTGTGGGGCTGCATGATCAAAGCAGCTAGAAGTGTCGTTACGCCTTCAGCTGAGGTCAATCCCTGGCAGGAGAAGGACATGGGCGATGAGGAATTTGAGACATGCTGAGTGCTTCTCCTAGGAGAAAAGGGCTTGATTTAAAAAGCGGCTGCCTCGTGGGTTTGCTTGGGAATGTGCTGCCAGAACAATTTCTCTTTCAACTCCTACAATCACAAGGATAAGGCATCGAGATGGTTCATCTGTGCAAGCTTGCGGCCGTTGTGGCTTTGGCTGTTGCGGCGCCTTCTGCTGCGATTGATCCTAATGCTATTTATGACGGAGGCATCAAGGGGAACAATGGGACAATCCAGCTTGCTATTGGTAACGGCGGTGCCGGCCAGAGCGGTCTGATCAAAGGTGTGTACATGCAAGCAGTGGAAGGTATTCACATCTCTTGTAAATAGAGATCTAACAGCTGTCAACAGCTCTCGCAGATGCGTACATCAAGGATTCCGTCTCCAACGGCACCAAGCCCTTCAGAGTCGCCTGGTACACTAGTGATACGACCTACAGCATCGAGTATCTCCAGTCTGGCCTCATCGACGTTGGCATCACCTACAGCCCGGCCGCGGAGAAGATTGCCATTGACCAAGGCATCGCCCTCTCTCCCAGTTACTATGCTTTTCGAGACCACTTTATCCTGGCTGGCCCTCCGTCCAACCCTGCCAACATCTCCAAGTCGACCGACATTTACACCATGTTTTCTCAAATCAGACAGGTTGCTGAGAGTGAAGAGACTACACCACCGGTGCGGTTCTTGAGCCGTTACGACAAGTCTGCCACCAACATCAAGGATTCTCTGCTGTGGGTTAGCATTGGCCAGGTACGTCTGAGTGTTGAACTCGATTTTCATTGCCATATTTATCTGTAACTAATCGCATTCTCCTCTAGGTCCCTTGGGCTACTGCTTATTCCACCTGGTATCACCAATACATTGCCTTCCCCATCCAGGCCCTCACTGCTGCCATTCTGCTGAATGAATACACCATCACTGACCGCGGGACGTATCTGTCTCTGGATGCCAAGCTGCGCAACCAGACGGTCATTTACAAGACCGGCTCGGACAGTGCTGACGATCCCCTTCTGAACCCTGCCCACATTTTGGTCGGAAAGAAGGCTCCTCATCCCAAGGTGGCCATTGACTTTGCTAAATGGGTGGTTGGGAAGAGAGGACAGGCTGTGATTGTTGGGTTCAAGAAGGACGGCCAGCAGCTGTATAGCCCAGCGCCGTCGAACTCGACTACCAAGTGATTGTGCATATGATGGTGTATATATAAACATATTGGAGGTTGAAATAGGGTAATAATGAGCCAATCATACATATTTTGTTTAATCCATAGTACTTCATTGATGACTGCTTCTACATCCTATTCTGCCTATGGTTAGCTCGTCGAAGGCTAACATGGGTAGTGACACCAGTGCGGAGATGGCAGTGCTTTGACTAGATTGTCAATGGATTGGCTATAACAAATATGTATTCTACAATACTTACATGATAATGTCTCTCGACTCTAGTGTCTTGAATCAATAGTTCATTGACGCCCAACGTTGATACATGTACTGTGCGAGTTGACGATATTCGCACTTAGCTACATGGCCTGTGTACACAATTCCCTCGCTCCTCATTGGCTGCGGCTGCACACACATCCCACCAGGCCCAACCTCAGGCCCCCACTTGCAATTATCTCGATTTCCCAATTGCTTTTTTCGGCCTGCCAGCAAAACCTCATCAACTCGACAACATCATGAGGAGGAGCCCATGAAACTCCCCGGGCGAGTGGACGGCTCTTTCTGCGGTGCGGTGCTGTCGACCCGATCATCAGCCGCGGTTACGGTGACTCTGCGCAACAATGTGTTTCCGAGGCCGCAGCCCCGAGATGCTTCGCAGAGACCAGCAACGCCGGTAACAGCGCATCACGGCCTCGTCTGCCCACGGAGCTCGCAATGGCTGCTGGCGACGTTTGTGCCGGGCCTCGAAAAGCACCGCACCGCCCCGACGCAGAGGACGCAGATTCCACGACGCACCGCCCGCGCCTACGGGACAGCCGCTGCCTCGTTGGCCGCGGGCACACGACAACGACCGCCGCCTGTCGTGATCCAAGACAAGGACAAGATGCTCTCATATGTCGACCAGGCCGAAGTAGGGACTGCCGAGGAGTATTTTGACTTTTACAGGGACCCGTACCGCCGAGGGTATGCCGCTCCGGATGGGCCAAAACTGCGAGTATCGGAGAGGAAGGGCGATGTGCAGTATCCTTCATCAGAGGAGACGGCCATGGTGGATGACGGGATGCAAGGCGTTCTGGCTCGACTCCAGACTGCTATTGGTCAGCGACTGCGGCATCCACATCGCTACACTCTCGACGGGATATACAAACTATACTGCCAGCTTCCAGAGCCTCGCATGCTGTGTCTCACGTGGCAGTGGCGAAACAGACTGTTGAAAGTCATGGGTACGCCTCAGAAGAGAGATATGGACACAATGCTGCGCTACTTTGCCCTGGTTGCGGATGTCAAAAATGCTGGACTCACTCTTCGCCGTTCACAGTGGAATTTCGCGCTGGCCTTTGCATCCAAATATACTGCCAGGGCTACAACCGAGGAGATGGAGTCGGCGCTGAGGATTTGGAAAGAAATGGAAAAAGAAGCACAGGTCATGGGAAACGATGTGACGTTTAACATTCTGTTCGACGTTGCTGCCAAAGCAGGCAACTTTACACTGGCCGACATGATTTACAAAGAAATGGAGAACCGGGGGATTGAGTTTAACCGTTTCCACCACGTCAGTCTCATTCATTACTTTGGATTGAAGCTTGACTCTGGGGGACTTCGAGCGGCGTACCGAGAAATGGTAGAGGCGGGCGAGATGATTGACACGGTCGTCCTCAATTGCGTCATCTCAGGCCTTCTCAGGTGTGGCGAGGAGGGGGCAGCTGAAGAGACGTATCAGCGAATGAAAAACGACCACCACATGGCCGCGGAGATTCCCCAAAAGGACTACATGATGAACAAGGTCGTCACCAAAGTTCTCATGATGTTTACTCGAGTTGGCAAGCAGCATCCAGAGCTGAAGAAATCCTTTCAGACAAATGTCAGCCTTACTCCCAACCTGCACACATACAAGCTGCTGGTTGGCCACTATGCCACTCGCATCGGCAACCTGCAAAAGGTTGCCCAGTATCTGGATGAGATGAAGCATTTGAAAATCTCCATCGAGCCCACCATCTTTTTGGCCTTGTTCAAGGGATTCTACATACACGGCGGATTTACCGGCTCGGACTGGTCTGAGCAGCGCCTAGAAGGTGTGCTGGCAGCCTTTTACCAGGCCCACGACGAGCATGCCAACGAGTTCCGCATAGACCAATGGGTGGTCATCTGGGCCCTGCGAGCAGTGAAAAAATGCTGCTCCGACGAGATGCTTCTCCAAACCTTTGATACCATGTCCCAGAGGTGGGATATCAACCCGGACCGCCAGCAGTTTATGCATGCCCTGTTTGAGAACATTCTGCACGACAAAGATCTCAAGTCTACGCGAGATGATGACCTTCAGTATCAGCGGCGCAGAAAGGATTCGTCGTGGCTATAATTAGGTCTCGACCTGTGTGATTGTATATAAGTGTTCATGTACGTTAGATAGCATATGCCAAACATATAGACCAGCCCTATCCTACGTCGATGGGGATCATCATGGAATGCAGCAATGATTTTATGACAAGTTTGAATCATATCCAGGTGACAGTTTCCAAAGGTGAATGCAGAATGGAGCCGGGCACGGAACAAGTTTTGTTATGTATGTGACTTGTGAAATGGTCCCACGTCTAATTCGAGCTATTTACTCTGTCGCAACAGTCCACCACCCATTCACAGCACCAAGCGTCCAGCCCATATAAAGCATTTTGTAATCGGAGCAGCCGTTTACTGGGTCTTGTAGGTTTGGTAGACTAACCTCGGGTGTTAGCATCAACAATCACAGCGCAAAACGGAAAACCGCGACACCATGGCGGGGCAGCCAAGTTCGAACTCACCGGCAATGCCAAAGGGAGCGAAGAAGCCGGTGGCCATGAAGGCCCAGTAGCCGGCGCCGAACCACTTGCTGCGAGGGTTGAAGGGCAGGTTGGAGTAGGGACCCTCGGGGTAGTGGTAAGGAGAGGACATGCGAGGGCGGGTGGTGTGGAAGCCTCGGCGGGCGACCGCGGAAGTGGTGCGAGTGGCGGCGCGGGAGAGCATCTGGGCGAGGTCAATTGAATTAGCTGGAGGAAGCAGGGAGGATGGTTGAGATTGTAGCGGGGGCAGTGCGGACTTTGACGGGCGTTGGAGATTGGCGAGGCGTGCGAGTTATAGCGAGGTTTTGAGATTCTTTGTTTCTGCGGCTATATAAAGCTGCCCGGGTTCAATATGGTTCGATTGAGGTCAAAACGTAAAGGCTTGGCGCTGGGGGGGTCACGTGCAGCTTCTGCAGCAGTAGATTCTGTGCTGACTAAGGTTAGTTCGGGTCGGGTTCGATGTACCGAGCCAAGCACAGCTCCATCTCGATGCGCCTGCCACCGCCTTCTTCTGTTGGCACCAAACTATTTTCTTTTCTGCCGTCCTAAATCCACTTCTTTCTCGCGAAAGTTTGGGCAAGCAATCTTTGCATTCTCTCATCCCTGGGAGCAGTTTCGGTCTTCCAGGTAGTTAATGTGGTTGCTGTGATTTGCCATTCTAATTGCTGGCTGACCTGAAGTTTTCTGTTTGACAGCTTTTTCCCCCCCAAGAGCTACACTCTACGATTTTAGACCGCAAGACGGCTGGTTCGACCATTTACTGGAATCGACCCGTGCTTTTTTCGCCCCGTATCACCTTGATTTTTTACCCTCTCCACAACCACAATTGAGTGGGAAAATCAGTCAAGATGGATGACCTGTTTGATGTTTTCGAGGGCAAGGCGGAGCCTCAAAGCTCCAGCGAAGATGAGAGAACTCCTCAGAAGAGTCGCAGCAGAGCCCAGAGCAAGAAGCGAAAGGCCGACGAAGCCATGAATGGAAATGCCGACGCCGACATGGATGCGACCAACGACGACGCCGACGTTGGCATGGCTGATGCCGCCGAGACTTCCAGAGACGAGGATTCCGAGGGCGAGGACGACTCGGAGACGCCTGAAAAGCAGGACAAGAAGCGACGCAAGAAGGCTGACGGCGCTGGGCCTGTCATGACGGACAACTTCCAGACGGCAGAGTCAAGAGAGGTTGCGGGTGCCTCGACATTCGTCTCGCAAGATTCGTCGCTCGTTCTGTCACACAATATCCAGCATCAAGTGGCTCTTCCGCCGGATCTCAACTACGAGTACATACCTCTTTCAGAGCACAAGTCGCCCGAGGAGCCTGCACGAACATATTCTTTCAAGCTGGATCCCTTCCAGAGCCTGTCTGTCGCATCCATTGAGCGCGAGGAGAGTGTGCTGGTATCCGCGCATACAAGTGCGGGAAAGACGGTGGTGGCGGAATACGCAGTCGCACAATGTCTCAAGCGCAACCAGAGGGTCATCTACACTAGTCCGATCAAGGCTCTGAGTAATCAGAAATATCGAGACTTTGAGGCCATCTTTGGAGACGTTGGCTTGATGACGGGTGATGTCACAATCAACCCCACGGCCAGTTGTCTGGTCATGACAACCGAGATTTTGCGGTCAATGTTGTACCGTGGTTCCGAGATTATGCGCGAGGTGGCCTGGGTTGTCTTTGATGAAATCCACTACATGCGAGACAAGACTCGAGGTGTGGTTTGGGAGGAGACCATCATTATGCTTCCCGACAAGGTCCGATATGTTTTCCTCTCGGCCACCATTCCGAATGCTTTCCAGTTTGCCGAGTGGATTGCCAAGATCCACCACCAAGCGTGCCACGTCGTTTACACCGATTTCAGACCTACACCCTTACAAAACTACTTCTACCCTGCCGGAGGAAAGGGCGCAAGAATGGTGGTGGATGAAAAGGGCAGCTTTAACGAGGAAAATTTCAACCTCGTCATGGCTGAGGTTGAAGAAAAGAAGGGTGCTGACCCGGCTGACTTCACTGCCAAGATGAAAGGAAAGGGGAAGAATAAAAAGACCAACAAGGGTGGCGCTGACGAAGGCTCCGACATCAACAAGATCATCCGAATGACGGTCAGAAAGCATTTCAACCCCGTCATTGTCTTCAACTTCTCCAAGCGGGAGTGCGAAAACATGGCCCTCAAGATCTCCAACTTGAACTTCAACGACGATTCTGAAAAGGCCATGGTCAACAAAGTCTTCCAAAGTGCTATTGACAGTTTGTCAGAACAGGACCGAGAGCTGCCACAAATCATGAACCTCTTGCCTCTGCTGCAAAAGGGAGTCGGCGTCCATCACTCAGGTCTGCTCCCCATTCTCAAGGAGACTATCGAGATTTTGTTCCAGGAATCCTTGATCAAGGTTCTATTTGCGACGGAAACCTTTTCCATTGGTCTCAACATGCCTGCCAAGACTGTAGTCTTTACCCAGGTCACAAAGTGGGACGGCGTGCAGAGAAGACCAATCACCTCATCTGAGTACGTTCAGATGGCAGGACGTGCTGGTCGTCGTGGTCTCGATGCCAGAGGTGTTGTCATTATGATGATTGATGACAAGCTGGAGCCGGAAGTTGCCAAGCAGATTGTCACTGGCCAGCAGGACAGACTCAACTCTGCCTTCTATCTGGGATACAACATGATTCTCAATCTCCTCCGAATCGAAGCCATCTCCCCCGAGTTCATGCTGGAGAGATGTTTCCACCAGTTCCAGAACGCGGCCAGCGTTCCCAGCTTGGAGAAGGATTTGATGGCACTGCAGCAAGAGAAGGACGCTCTGACAATACCGGATGAAGCCACTGTCAAGGATTACTACACAATCAGGCAGTCACTGAATACCTACACCAAAGATATGCGAGCAGTCATCCAGCACCCCAACTACTGCCTTCCCTTTTTGCAACCCGGTCGACTTGTGCAGATCCACAATGTGAAAGAGTCGGCAGAGAAGATTGGCGGCGGACTCGATTTTGGTTGGGGTGTCATTACTGACCAGTACCAGCGACGAGCTCCCAAGCTTGGTGAGCCCGATTACCCGCCTCAGGAATCCCACATCATCGAGGTTCTGCTATACATTTCCAAGTCCAGCGCCGAAATCATCCCTGGCACGCTCGCTGGAGACATGCCGCCCGGCCTTAAGCCATCAGACGAGGAGGATGGCATGTTTGCGGTAGTGCCCTGCCTTCTCACATGCATCAAGGCCATCAGCCAGATTCGAATTTTCATCCCCAAGGACGGCCTGAAGTCCGATGATGAGCGCAAAGATGCTTCAAAAGCCTTGAGCGAAGTGCAGCGTCGATTCCCGGATGGCGTGCCAATTTTGGATCCGCTGGAGAACATGGATATCTCGGATGAATCTTTCAAGCAGCTTCTCCGCAAGATTGAGGTTCTCGAGTCCCGACTGGTCACAAACCCTCTGCATCTGTCTCCCATGCTCCCGTCCCTATGGGACCAGTACCACGCCAAGGTGCAAATCTTGGACAAGATCAAGGAGAAGAAGAAGGAGATTGCCAAGGCTCACAGCATTGCGCAGATGGACGAGCTCAAGTCCAGAAAGCGTGTGTTGCGCCGCCTTGGTTTCATCAACGATGCCGAAGTCGTTCAACTCAAGGCTCGTGTTGCCTGCGAAATCTCTTCCACAGAGGGTCACGAACTGCTCTTGTCAGAGCTTCTCTTTGATCGATTCTTCAACGAGATGACACCCGAGGCGATTGCCGCTGTGCTTAGCTGCTTCGTCTTTGACGAGAAGCTGGAGGCCCAGGCATTGAAGGAGGAGCTGCAGAAGCCGTTCCGCGAGATCCAGGCCAAGGCTCGCATGATTGCCAAGGTTAGCCAGGAGTCCAAGTTGGACGTCAACGAGGACGAGTACGTCCAGAGCTTGAAGTGGCAGCTTATGGAGACTGTGTATGCATGGGCTCAGGGACGAACGTTTGCCGAGATTTGGTAAGTTGAAGCTCCTACATCTTTCATCTGGAAGAATAGTTTTTACTGACACGCTTTGTAGCAAAATGGCAAATGTCTACGAAGGCTCATTCATCCGCATCTTCCGCCGTCTCGAAGAGCTCCTGCGACAGATGGCCCAGGCCGCAAAGGTCATGGGCAACGATGACCTGACGAAGAAGTTTGATGAGAGTTTACAGAAGATTAGGAGAGATATCGTGGCCGCCCAGAGCTTGTACCTGTAAAGTGAGACGGGGAAACCCGTATTTTGCTGGAAGAAAGGAAAGAAAAAACGCATCATGATTTTCTTTTTCGGATTTTTTTTTCACGTCAGTCAAGAGCTAAGAGCCATATGTAGATACCTCCTCTTTCCTTTTCTTTTGTCTTTCTCATTTACTTTGGCATTATTGCTCATTGGCTGGTGGAGTTTTGGGAGCTTTTTGGGGAGGTATGAAAAGAAGTTGGGTTTTTTTCTTGTTTGGTAGTAGATAGGGGTGATTTGCTGTAATGGTTTGGTAGAATGGTCATTTGTCATGGCTGATGAGTATGCCGATGTCTCCGACCCTTGGATGCTGATGACGATGCTTCTCTCGGAGGTAGTCGGGCCGCCAGCATATTGGCCATACAAGGGCTGCGGAAGAAAAGAAAAGCCCGAGGGTGTGAGATGATGAGCATCCAGAAACGGGCAATCCTCCACACTAAACTCGTCTAGAACAGTGAAGCGTATTCTCCGTTTATCTGCGCATGTCGAATTCATTCTGCAATGTTCTATCGGAATGCAGTGTAACACAACCGCATTGTTTTAATTGCTGTCATGTGACGTGCGCGGAGACTTTTTGATGACTTGTAGAATCCAGTCCTCATCACCATCTCTCGGTCAACAATAAATAGTCTCCGGCTTTGTGGTAGCTTTGCTTGATTTACATTCTTCACGATTCTTTTTAGTGATTGACGTTACCCAGGCTTATAGCTGCTTTTCGCCTTCTACGCCTCAGACAAGATGAGCATCACTCACACCGTTCTCTTCCAGTTCAAGGCAGAATTATCGGCCGACGATGTCAAAGCAGTGAGCGGCCCGAACTATCTACATATCTAAAAAAAGCACAGATATCCGGTATCGTACTAACCAGACTGTCAGACTTTCGCGCGATTTCTGGCGCTCAAGGATAATTGTGTGCATCCGACCAGCGGGGAGAAATACATCATTTCGTTGAAGGGCGGGAAGGACAACTCCCACGAAAACATGCAGGCATGTATTGTCCGACCATTAAACTGCATTCTGTTTGCCGTGGGGTTATGTTAATTGATTTTCTGACGCTGGAATAGAATGGGCTTACGCATGGTGTTGTAGCTGAGTTTGCCTCGGCGGAGGATAGGGACTATTATATTTCGACGGATCCTGCTCATCTGGAGTTTGTGAAGAGTCTGGGGGGGCTGCTTGAGAAGGCTGTTGTTCTTGATTTCAGTGATGGGGTGTATTAGATGGGGGATGACTCTGGACTAATGCCACTTGGTGCCGCTGTTGGCGCGAGGTTGAAGTGAGATGCCCTGCGTACGTTTCTACAATGCTCAAGCTCATGATGAGATGGTCGGCGAAACCCGATGACTCGATACCGAAGATACTAAAATGAGAGACTTGAACTCCATTGATCTCCATGTTTGTCGTCAAGATACTGATTGAGCACATGCAGAGCAAGCGACATGTTGTCAGCGGTCGCCAAAGCATCAGCAGGCCTCTTGTAGCTTTCACAGGCCATTGTTGCCAGCGAGACAGCAGCAGCGCGAGTTCCATTGTCGTCGATGATTCCGTCTTTCACGCGGGTTCGATCAGCCTTGCCTTCGGAGCCGCTAATATCAGCCTGGATGCATACAAATTCCACCATCAAATGCGGAGACCGAGACCAAGAAGGCGGTTTATAGCACCCAGTTGGCCTTTGACTCAACCAGCCTCCTTGTGAGCTTCGGCAGTGTGGGAGCAAGCATGCTAGGCGAATATGAGCTTTGCTCGGAAACAGAGTTGGCGAAGCTCACAGACGCAGGAAACTTCGGAGAGGTCATCAAGATGGCAAGGACGAGTCCTACAACCGCGCCAACTTGGACTTTTTTTTTTCACGTACTTATTGCCAAGATACACTCACTAGGTAAGCGACGGCTCCATCTCATGACTCCATCACCTCGTGTGTCTCTCGGCATCGATCCCAGCGTTACCAGAAGCCATATCTATGCGCGGGGGAGGATTAACACGATTTTCGTCTTCGCGATGATTCCGAGAAGTGTAGGTCTCAACAGTAGGCTCTCGCTGTATGCCTGGGCGATGACTTCATTTTTTATAATTATCGACGCAGGCAAGCAGGGTCCACACGAAGCTCCGAAGCGGCAAATCCAGCCTTGCCATGCGGACTAAACCCTAGCGAATCCTAATTGAGGCGATGCGGATATGACAGGTATGTATCACTGAATCCTGAAGGACGCTTTAGCCTGTGAAAACCCTATCTAATGGACTATTGCATAGACTTTATAATAGCTGCAGTACTCCGTATTATACCCTGAAACTTCCAATAGTAGTTAGGCTATTCCATGGGGGGATAGCAACGAACCAACCAGATGACAAGGAGGCTCAAAAACACCCGATCTCTGTGCTATTGATAGCATCGCAGGGGGGTTTGGTCGGTTTTGAGACCCCTGGAAAGAAACCTGTTGGTTATGTGAGACGCCCCGCAAAGCACTCGAGGCACTTTTATTGGTGTTGAGGCTGAGAAGGGCAAGTTTGGACGCTGTATATATGAACTCGGTCTGCTGAGTGCGCCTCGAGCTATTGGAGGCTCAACATCTACTTCATCTTCATGACCTACCTGCGCCGCGCCTAGCAGTGTTACTTCGCGATTCTTTCAGTCGCGGGAGAGCTCGACATGCGACCTGGTTCGCCTACCGTGGGGGATTCCACGGCTCGTTCGCAATTTGGCGTTCACAATGACATCGGTTTAGGTGAAGAAGGGTATCAACAACCATCACATTCACTTCCAACGGGAAAGGATGGCACGCGGCTCGCCTATCACGAGATCCCCAGAAGACAGACGCACAAGCGCTCTGCGTCCCACAGTGAACTTTATCATATGGTCAAATTTCCAATGCTGCTATCGACGCTTGTTATACCTCTGATTGCGCTCGTTGTTTGGCTTGGGCTCACAGCACCAAAGTCGAAGCTCTTTGGGTCGTTTGCTGGTTTGGTGATTGGCGGACGCTTCTCTCAAGGCGCGGCAAAAGCCATCGACATTCTTTGTAGCGCAATCATCGCACCGATTATAATGGCATCTTTGAACCTCGTTTGGTTCAGCTATGCACGAGTGGCCATCCGGGCATCGCGAAACGTCCCGGAAGAGCAACGACGCAGAATACCGCTGGCAACTCTGGTGACCATCAGTGGCATGTCTACTGGGAGTTATAATTTCGTCGACTTCCTCTCGCTGCTACGTGGAAAGACATGGCGATTGTTTCTTCTGACTGTACTGACGCTATCCTCTGCAATTGGATGGACGACTTTGTCCAACGTCATTGCCTACGAAGCCTACACACAACGAATGCCGTCCGACGACATATATACACTTAGAACACTAAGTGATGTGCAAATCAACACTGCAACGCACGTTGCTTCTGCGGTAGAGCAACATGTGAATATTCAATTCCCCTCAACCAGTTTCGGTTTCGACATACCGCAACAAGCCAACATATCCGAGCAGCTCACGACCCTTTTAAACCAGATGCTGTTGCTAAACTCATCAAGTCTTGATTCCGATGGGGGTTACGTGGGAGTCAATGTTACAGATGCTTCCTTGAACAAGTTGTCACCTTCAGTGGTAGCACTATACGATATACCCGCGTTTCGGTTGAGTGCGACATGCGAACCTGCAAAGCTGCTTCCAGGAGGCGTTGGCCCTGCGCAGATGGGGGCCTCGACGGTCGAATTGACGGGAATACTCGCTTCTCCGAATACGACTTCTCAGTTGCACGGCTACTGGTATCCCGGTGTCATTGCGGATATCAAGGATCAGTATTCGACACAGTTTCCAACCGTCTTCTTTTCGTTAAACTACCAGCATGCGGTTCTGGGTTATTTGCAATCGCATGAAGCAAACACCAGCGTATCAACTGCATTTGGCGAGATTCAACCTGTAGAACTGAACATCACCGCAATCAACAATGTTTTTACCTCCTACTCTCTGTACTGCTCTCTTTTTCGCCAAGAAGGAGTCGCCAACTATACGCGTTCCACAGGCCAGCCCTGGGAATTATCCGGGTCAAGATTCCAGCCATCGAAGAGCGCCGCGCGTTCTTTCATCGGAGACTGGCAGGTTGCGCTCAACTATCACGCCATTATAGAGAGAGGCACAATCCCAGGTATTGCGCCCGCCATCAGAGGAGGCCTGGCTTGCGGACTACCAGCCATAACCGGGCAAATAGTGGCCTGCGAGACCAACTTTTCGACGTTTGTCTCCAACTTCGTGCTCGCGTCGGGCCGTGCCCAGACCATGCTATACAACGTTGCCGCAACGAATTCTTCCCGCGATAGGCCCGAGTATTTCTTCGACGTGACGGGTGATGCGATGCAGCAGTTTTACCACCTCACCTACGTTCCGGCGCTGCTCTTTGTTAGCCTTCTTAGTCTCATCATAGCGGCGTCTGCAGCAACAGGCATGACTATGTATGCAAGGTATATCCATAGGGATCAAGGGATGGTACCGCACGAAATTACTCCTCTGCGATTGGTAGTAGACAGCTGGGCCGGGACGTTACAAGATGCTGCTAGCATGACTAGGTTGGCGAGCTTGTCGAATGACGAGCTACAAGAGGCTGCTAAGGAAACGTATACTAATTATTTACTGGATTAAGATTTGTATGTTGGATTGATCAAGGGATTATAGAGAGAGGTATGAAGGGGGCTATTTGTAAATATTTATAAAATATAATTTATATGATGAACTAAATGTCATTCAATGACTTGGTTCATCATTCCTACCCTATTTGAACGCTGTCAGTTGACATATACGTTGATGTTGGAGCGAATAACTGATAGGGCTTCAAATAAGCCGTAACAATGTATAACAGTAGCAATTGTTACTCTTACCTGGAGGATTTTGTAATTGGTATTAAAAATGTCAAACTTGTATAACCAACTTCTTCTACCATAACGACCAGAAACAGGTACGTTTTTGATAGATGTACATCTTCCAACCACCGGGAGTATTATCGCTAATGTTTCATATTTCTTTCAGCTTATAGTCTTATACAGCTAACTAATACATTTTAAGGTAAGTCAATGCAATCCCACCAACATTTCCTGGTTACCGAGTACATGGCATGCAGGCGTAGCATGACAACTGAGGTTTTGACAAGACTCTATGTTTCCTGGAGTTCATTAAAGTTACGGCGCCTGCTTGTAAGAAGTGAGTTGAACATCTATTTTTTCCTTCAAAGCTGAGTAGCCTGTTAACCCTTGACCTTCCTGCAGCTTCTAGGCCTCGGAGGCGTACTGTATCGGCAAATCCGCTTATATTGTGTTGTTGGGGCTTAAGATAAAGGCACATGTCTGGTTCCATCTCATAGATACATCATATACCTCCGTCCTCGGTAATACTATAAAAGATTCCTGCGTCAGCTAAAATCAAGGTTACCGTTTATCCTACTTGGCCGAAAAGTCCTCTTTCAACTTTATTATAATAGTATCTCTAATTTGCCCTTGACTACATGTATAAAGCATTCCTGTCACCCGAGTATACCACATTGAGCTCCGATTGCAGAGTTTTCTTTGGCACCTTGTGCCAGTGCTCTAATACTTCATCTTCTGGGACAAAACCAGAGCTGCTCGTCCAAGTCGCCGTTGCTGAAGATCCTTGTATGAAATACCGAAATGCATGCCAATATCGTCCATATCCCAGCTCTGCCACGAGGTCCATTTGTCTTAGTACAGGCATCTGCAAGGCCGCGCGTGCTGCGGAGAGGTAAAACCGCTGTATGGCTGGAGTTGCAATGTCTAGGGTGGGCGACGACGCCTCTGTCGAGAGGCTTGGCAGATCAGAATCTACTGAGGATACACTCTCAGAAGAGGATCCATCTCTATATGGGTCGGGAAGAAAGAGAAGTTCGCCACAGGGGTCAAATGGCGGGTAGTGTAAGATGAAGTCGACGAGTCGGTCCCATCTCGGCTCTACCAAACCTTCAGGAATCGCTCGAGGAAAGAATATTTCATCATTGACTGGAATCATTCGAATGCCGAAATCTTTAACGCGTTGAGATAGGACGTGGAGGGACTTTGACAGTCTATCTTCGTCCCCTTCTCTCAACACCTCAGTTCCCGCAGATGGCAGAGTCTGGTTAGCAATGTCATAGTGCGAGTCGCACAAGTTAAATTCATCGATTGGATGGCCAATTTGAGACAAAGCATCAGCAATATCTATTGCCCCAAGGATTAATAAAGTGAGCTTTTGTTTAGGAGGGAGAGAGCAGAAGATCTACCATTTCGAATGCTTGCAAATGTTAACGTTTTCCACCACTCGAGCAACACAGCTCTTGTTGCTGGTAACTTCGCTAACAAAGCACAAATGGCGACCACAGAGAGATTTCTCTGTCGATATGATGGCTCGGACATTCCAAGTTTAGTTATGGCTACAGCAGAGGGTAATCGCGCAATACGCTCAGGATCGGTCAGCTCCAGCACCGATTTTCTATATCTCGGTTCCCAATGGCCTAGCGATATCCTTCCTGTCCCGTGCAGCTCAATAGGCGGATCCTCAGGCGGCATAGGCACGTAAAAAGTGAGCTCGATACCATCTCTGTGCACCTCGGCCGCATCCCACTGGCTCAAAGACTGCAGGAATGCTTCCAACACTGCTTGAAATGCCTGGTTGTTGCGTAACTTCTCGTCATCAGTCTCCCTGCTTCGCCACGGCCCAGGCTCGGGCAGCTTGATGTGAAGCCGGATGTTGCGCACATACGCACGGCGCCGCGCCGTCACGTTGGAGTTGAGCTGTGAGAGTCGATGCAAGTCAAGATGCAGGTAGGCAAAAGTCTCCCGCTCAATCTCGTCTTGCCAGAAGCGACTGACACTGGCATACTGATGAGCGTCTGGGCGTCTGTTCCAAAACACAGGAGGATGGAATTCGAAGCCGGGGCGAGAATCGTGAGTTAGAAAGAAGATGATGCGCTGGAAGATTTCGGGAGCAAGAAGGACAGGTGCCATGATGATTGATTCTCATAGAGTGACAAGTGCCTTAGTCTACTCAACGTGGTTGTTGGTCGTTCTTATAAGTTTACGCGTACCCACATGTGATAAAATGCACCGGCTGGGTTAAATCCTCAATCCTTCACTGGAGAGCCAACATTGAATGATTCAATGCTTTACTAGCTCGATTAGCACGCAAAAGTATACATACGGTCCGACCCTGATCGGCTCAATAACCGCTTAAGATGGGAATATCCAACACGTCTAATTGTTGATGGTGCATTCAGTGACTGGGCATAGAATCCGAATTGAGACGTACCTTTTATTGAACTAATAGATTGTGTATCAGACTAAAATCCGAGCAAAAGTGAAGCTCCACACTCGCTCAAGAATAATACAGTCTTATATTTATCTGACATTGTGCTTATACAGTTGCCTTCCACAGCAAAATTCATCCATTGGCCAGTTATCTGCAATATTATGCAATGTGTTGCAAGATGATTGGTGGGCATGCTGGCCAGTAATAAGAAGGATGCCATCAAAGGTGCATATATGAGGTGGGCCGGCTTCTGGGAAATCAGTTTAGGCATCTCACGAGGCTCAGGCATTAACATGGTCACACCATTTCTCTCAATTCAACGCTTAAAGTCCCCTCCCAAATCGGTTTCTCTCCGTGGTGCAACGATTCAAGCTGAATCCAGACTGGCAAAACTACAACCCGAGTTAGTGGCGATTGCAGCATGGCCTCCCCAGAGACCAAGGTATATCGCCTTCGAGGTATCCCGGCGCATTTGGATCGTCTCGGCGTTACTCAATTGATTCAAGCATTTTTACCCAACGGCAAGCTCGAAGATATTACCGTAGCATCGCTTGCCATGAGCTGCGAATTTTGGATTAGGAATCCCACAAAGATAGCGACACTCACTCTACGAAAACTTCCCGAAGTCGTGCGTATTGCTCCTGCGGCTGGGGAGTGGCAGCTTCCCGTGCTTGCTCTGCCCAAACCACTCATTCTGGATGATAAATTCTATGGTCTTACTCCTTTGAATGAAGTGAAAGAGTCTCACCATCAGTTTGAGTAAGTCAATTAATGCCATTAGACGTTGAGTACGCAGAAATCTGATGACTCCAAGTTGTGTTGTGATTTCAGGTCTCGCAAGCCACCCGATGGGATCCTGGCAGCCTCGAGGCAATGATAAATCGTTCATGTGGATAAGAGATAAATTGCCAGAACTCGTCCCCAACGTTAGATTCATACTCTATGGTTACGATACTACACTAGTGGGGAGTAATTCTTTCCAAACAGTGGCAGATCTTGCCAATAATCTGATCAACGAACTGAAGGCAGGAGGGTGGTCATCGCCTAGTTCAAAGGAGTTGGCATTTTTGGCACACAGCCTTGGTGGCGTGGTGTTAAAACAACTTTTCTGTATGCTCGCAGACAGTGATGTCTCTTCTGAGTGCATACTCCAAAAGACAAAGGGCGCAATATTTTTCGGAACACCAAGTGAAGGCATGGACATCGAAGATATTCATACCATGCTTAAAGATCAGCCAAATAAAGACGCACTTGTAGCCGAGATATCTAACAGATCAAGCTTTCTGTCTAGTCTGGAGGAGCGCATCTCTGGCATTGTTCAACTTCGAGCAATGAAGCTTAATTGGGCGTATGAAACCCAGAAAACCCCTACTGTGAAGGTACTGATACCGATCCTATGATATAATACGCAAATGAGAAGAGACATGACTAACATATTTTGTAGTTGGTTGATGGTGCATACGGTAGATCGGGGTCAGGGACCATATTGGTATCACGAGAGTCCGCCACGGGCAATCGTTGCACTTCTGATGCTGCGTCAACAATACAAATTAATGAGAATCACTCCAACATGGTTAAATTCTCACCCGGAAATCACATTATTGGCCCCATTGCGAATACGCTAAGGAATATTCTTCAGAATGACCAAGGTGCTCTTAGCCAATACCCGGAGCGTTTGGCTACACTCAATCTTCCAAAGATACCATCCAATATCATCACCTTAGCGAATCACAGCTCAAGAGATATTTGGGACCTCGAGTGTTAGTGGTTTATTCTGTCAATTTGGTGAGATAGACTAATGAGTTGTTAGCAACCATCCAATCCCTGCGGGTACATGAGAGAGATGAAAGGTTGCAGCAGATCGATGAAAGCGCCGGTTGCTCTTTTGAATGGGCATTCGACGACTCTTCAATTGGATTAAAAAAATGGCTACAAAAAGGTGACGGTCTCTACTGGGTTTCTGGACGACCTGCCTCTGGAAAGTCAACTTTCATGAAGTTTCTCTACCACGATAAGCGCACGTCACAGCTACTGCATGGATGGTATAGTAAAGCCGCACATGTCGAAGCAAATTTCTTCTTTCATTACCGTGGCAATCTCATTCAAAAGTCATTCGAAGGCCTGCTCCGCAGCATTCTCAGCCAAGTGTTAGAGCAAGCCCCCAGTACCTTTTCATTGGTTCAAGCGATAATACAACACGCCTCCCAGAACGTCCCAAAAAGACGAGAACCAGTCACCCAGAAAAAGACTGAACGAGTTGAAAGCGTCATAGATGAACACCACGACCGCGAAAATATTCAACATTTTGCAAACGAGATTTGGACACTCCCAAACCTGCAAAAAGTCCTACATCAAGTCATAGATCAACAATCAATGGATTTAGATCTGTGTATTTTCATCGACGCTCTTGATGAACACGACGGGCCACCAGAGTTTATTGCAGAGTTCTTAAAGGATATAATACAACCACGAAACAGCCGCACGCGTGTCAAAATTCTCTTCTCCAGCCGACCGTGGGACGTTTTCAAGGATGTTTTCCCTGATTGCCCTGGCTTTCAGATTCATCAGCATACTGATAATGATATCCGTGAACTTTGCACCCATGTCATAAACAGTGAATGCCCTGCTTCACAAGAACTTTTTCAACTAGTGGAAGAGATTGTGAAGCGAGCCAAGGGTGTTTTCTTGTGGGTTAAGTTGGTGTTGCAAGAATTATCCAAGATTGCAGCGTCTGCTCCGCTGGGAAGAAATACTGAAGCTTTATCCGGCGAACTACGGGTCGCTTTGCAAAATCTTCCCGACGATTTAGTTGAGTACTTCAGCACCATAGTGGAACGGATACCCCAATCTTTCCGCCGTGAGGCATTTTGTTTACTTGAAGTTGTTGCTAAAGGGGATGGGGTTTATCTTGCAGACGTACCAAAAATTCTTGGCTGCTTAAATTTCTCTCATTATTCCGAGCTGGAACAAATACTTGAGAACCTGGACGAACGCACCCCTGAGCAGTGGGCTACTTTGTTAAGAACTTATACCGGCGGGCTTATTGAAATCCAAAAGCCACCCAAATGTAAACTCCAGTTACTGCACCAGACAACTGTTGATTTTGTTCAACTACCAGAGTTCAAAAATATTGTTCTCCGATCAGGGGCGCATGCTACCAGCGATAACGGGCATACATTTCTCGTAAAGCTCATCCTTCTCAAGCCTTTGGAAGATGAGTATGGCGATTATGGAGCAAAACTCGATCTTTTGTTTCATGCCAATTATTCCGAAAAAACTACTGGGAGGAGCTTATATTCGTTTTTTTCGGACGTCTCCACATTCGAAGCTCGTGGGATATATTCATCCTGTATCTCTGGAGGACTTTTACCCTCTCATTTGAAATTCACATCTCCATTCCAACTGGCTTTCAACGCTCATCTTCGCCTTTTCATTGAGGACGCTCTGCAATCTGAGTCATCGTTCATATCCAAATCCACGAATTGTTGGGCACAATTTGTTTTTGATGCACTCTACGATGGCCTAGCTACCTATGAAGAAGCTCTGCAGATGATCGAACTCTTAGCTACTCATGGTTTCTCTTTCGATGATCACGCTAACTGCTTAGCTTACAGGCTCGTCTCGTTAGGGGTCGAATTTCAGCGTTCTGGATCCCGCAAAGCCTATTCTCTACTCTCTCTCAATATTATCAAACGATTTAAAAATCTGGAAATGGCCTTACAAATTCCTAAACTCGCCCCACATCCGGTTTATTGGTCATCTGAAATGAGCCTGGACACAGTAAATCTTATTCATTTATGTCCTTATAACATCACTGAATACCTTATTCATAGAAAAGTAAATACGAATATGAAGGATGGATACGGATGCACACCGCTGGATTGTTATGTCATGGGGAAATATCATTGTAACTGGTGCGACGGGAAAGACTTGTATCAACTGATGATACTTCTTGCTCAAAATGGAGGCCGCCTGAATACAACGAGTAGAGAAAATTGGGGCGGGGTTATCGCCAGATTCCAGGGTTTGGAGCTTGATGTGTCATTATTCGAGCTTTTAGGGTTTCCTAAATGGAGTGACACGCCTGCGGAAGGAGGATTTCTCAGGAGAGTTACACGCAAACTCCGTTATAATTGGAGGAACACAATGTCCGTGAAGAAATCATGAGCTTCAGTTACTGTTTTCTCCCGATGTGTTGGAATTCAAAGCTCATAACATAGAACTTTCATTTTGATGATTAACTGTATAAAATGGCATTTACTAATCCAGTTGAGTGAGAAGGCTGGACAGATTTTGGATATAAGGTTCAAGCCTGATCGAAATGTAAATTTCAGGGAATCTAAATACACCTAATCTTATGACGATGAGCTCGAAATATTTAGCTATCTGGTGTAAAAGCAGCAGCCGTCCGGGTTTCATCAAACTACTCCCGGTAAAACACAATCTTTCCATCCTTGGTACGGAGACAGAGTATATAGTCTTGATTATAGATCTTGCCCATCGGTTTAGCTGTGGCAACCACTGAAAATTCCAGTTACCACGGCATCTTCACCTTGGACCGTGTGCACGCTCTTCTGGATAATCTCAAAGTCATCGCCCAGGAGCTGAAAGAAGCCTGAGACACTCTTTGCATGAGGGTAAAAATGCGACCTATAGCGAATCAATCAAGGAAAGAAGAACCTTGAGTTCAAAGGAAAATCTCCAATACATGAATTTCTCAGCAATCGAAGAACTCTAATAGCCGCCTCTTGGAGAGTGGTTTTTTGGCTTGCCGGTTTAACACATTATTGCACTGGGTGTTTAGGTATATGTAGGCACATGTAGTTTTAGATTCGCCCTGATTTGGCGCCAGCGGCTAATGTCGTGACAACATTGGTGGTGGTGATGGTGCCATGAGAAATACGATGGTGCCAATCTTAGGGCTTCTTTGATCAGGCAGCTCTTCGATAAAGCCGATTGTATGAAGAAAGACTAGAGCTAATTAGGGAGACAAAGGCTCATGCAACGCCTGAAATGATTCAGCTGTTAATTCGCTACCATTTCTCCGTACAGTCAGAATATAGCACAAAACCTCGGCTTTGATAGTCCTGTAGTTAAGGCACAGCCACACGATTTCCACCATAGCGCCGCAGCAGCCCAGGCTCCAGGGCTTTGTTCGAGGCCTACAACACAGCGCATGAGCCTATCACGGGACAATAATTGATCTGTGGGCTGTCAAAGGATATAACAAAGGGGAACAAAAGGATACTGAAATCTTGTAAATTATAAATTCAGCCCATTGCCGTCTCCTCGTTTTGACCCATTTCGCCCTCGTCTTTGCCCTTTCTCCGGAATCCCATTCATAATGTTGCAGACAATCAAGCGAATATTCAACTACCTTGCCAACTTGGAGTGGACCGAACGTCCCCAGAAGGACTGCAAATTCTGCGCCATTAAACCCGAGAATATCATTTTCGAGGTGAGCCTTTTCACATCTTTTGAGAAAACTCACGGCAATAATTACTAATATTTTACTTAGAATGATCTATGCAAAGCTGTCAAAAATATCAAGGAGGCAGGGGAGGCGCACTGGCTCATCATGCCCAAAAAGCATATCCGAGATATCGAAAACCTCAGCTCTGCACACCTTGAATTATGTGGGTTACACCATGCTGATCTGACATCTGTCTAAAGAACTCAATTAACGCGGATTTTTTTTACTTGCATGAAAACAGTACAATCAATGGATAAGTTGAAGCGCGAGCTCCTGAAAAATCATCCTGATGTGCCTCCTTCCGAAATATACTCCGGGTATCATCGAGGTGGAAGAACCATGTTTGGTATCTTCCGTTTCCCAGACATTATTTCAGTTCACCACTTGCATTTACATGTCATTGTTCGACCAGAGTTTCTCAAAAAATGGTTCAAATATCCGCCTTGGCTACCTCTCATGTGGAAGTCGGACGCAAAACTGCTTCGGGAAATTGAAGAGTTGGCATCGAAAGGGAGGTAATGACTAGAAAAGAAGATTTAGTTTTGTACGAGCACATAGATTTAAATTGATTGTGTGGCATATCATACTCTATTATGAAACAGTAGCTGAAGAGATATAAGATCGGGAATATCTTCCTGAGGCAAACCCCGCGACTGTCAACTATCTTCCTCGCATGAATAATCCTAAAGGCTGATAAAATATCATTTCTCACTTATTTTGCACTTCGGTTGGGTGTGAAGGTAATACGGTAACACGCCTTCAGCATTTACAGTCTCATTGATCGTGCAGAAGGGCCAGAGAAGCAGTTCATTTCCATAGCATCATAGAATGAATCAGTTTGAAAAAAATGACAAAAGGGTTTCTGATATGTCAGCTCCAAGAAAGAAAGGCAAGCTGGCTAGAGCAATAAAGTCATCATTCGCATCATTATAGCTAGAGAGCTAAGTACAACTAAGTTATTTTGGTATGTATTCTGGACAAATTAAGAAACAATAAGATTCGGAACTTGAAAGCAACAAAATACATAAAAGTGAATGAAGTGAACGCATCTAATTATCCTGTCAATGTCCATAAGCTTGTAGAGATTCGTTTCCAAAAGCTCCTGCGAATTCCTTATGCGATGTTGCTCTTCGACTTAGCGCATAACGAAGATTAAAAACTATAAGGACCAATATAAAAAACGACCCGATTGTTAACGAGATAATCGGAGCCAGAATAGAGAACATGGTAAACACGTATGACGCGCGGTTGAATATTGCGTTCTCGTTCAATTTGGTTGTGGCCAGTCCCACTTGCATAGCTGCCAGAACCACAGTTATATAGATGAAGGCAGTCAAAACCCATTTGAAGTTTCTTTCAAGGTACGTCGAGTATTGGCGGTAGCCATAATCATATCCGCGAATCATGGTCCTGAATTTGATCGTGTTCGTGCAGAATCTGCTTATCGCATTCAGTCGCGTGAGACGTAATTCGCCATAAACATATCTCGGATTGATGTCACTGAGATCGCCCTTGATGCTGGACACCACAGCTGCAGAGAAAGGGACCCATTTCTCCCAAGTGATCTTTTCCGATACAAGCCCTTTCTCAAGCGCAATCTTTAAGTCGCTTTTGCTGCATATTAGCCAGGTGTAAGAGTAGAGAAATCCTTTCGCGCTCTCAAAAAGTTCACGGTCAGCGCAGAGCTTTTCTGTCCAGAAAGAACAGCTTAAAAGATAATCTGGCAGCGGCTTCAGGTACAGAATGTTGTCGCGCCAAACGAGGTGGAGATGTGCCATTTCCGAGATGTGAATCTGCCGCCCAATTCTGACTTGGTCATGCAATGCTCGACAGGCTTGCGGTAAGCCAGCCAGCCAAAGGTGCTTGTGGATCTCATTCAACCGTCGGACATCAAGGTTGTACTCCAGATATTCTTTAATGGAGGCCGGGTCCGACTTGTCGATGCTGACGACCTTTTTATCTCGCTGGTAGATTCCAGCAATCAGCGGCGCTTCTTTTGAGATGTCTTCTTTCGAACTGAATGGAGGTGCTGATGTTTGACACACAGATCAGCGCCATTCTTGGAGTGGGAACCAATTATTGAGGTCCCAGCGTAGTTACCACAGCATACGGAAGTAGTGCGGTGATAACCACGAAGGAATCCGCGTGTATGCCAGTTAATTTGGATGAATGACTGAAGGGTAACTCACAGCGAGGTTCCTCAACCAGGGTAGTCTTATTACTCAAAGGCCCGATCGGTATACCGTATGTAGAGTCAACCCGTCCTGCCGTTGAATCCCAGTTAGTCATGCATGCTTAGTATTGAATGCATTCTTTCCCCCAATTATGGAAGTGCTGCTCCGTCTTGGTACATAAAGGAGGGTGGATGGTTAGGTAGAAAGCGAGAAGTAGGGGCTTACTTTCAAGACCATCCGCCGAAGTATCGGCATCCATCATCTCCAACTGTAAGTGTGGATGCGCTTGCAACTAACGTGCCGCCGAAGAAATAGTCAGAGTAAGCGCTGCCTAGGAGTTGCTTTCAGCGATGAAATATAAGAATCTGCCTCCGTTTCTAGAATGCGGAAGACACAAGAAGCCTAGGCAGAGAGAGTCAGCCGAGAGGTGGCTGAGCCAGACCTGGCCGCATTTTCAGCCTCTGTACAACAGGCTGCAGGGGTCAACAAACCCCGCTCATGATGTTTTGTATCCGAAGCAGCGAGTACATGACCATTCTCAGATTCTTTGGATTCTCATTGGCGAATAAACACCAAAGATATAGCAGATCAATGTTGTGTGTAGCACTGGAGCCTCGCGCCAGTCTTTTCAACCACACCTGTAAAAAATGACGTGGCAAGCAGGGGTTGGACCATATGTAATCTGTTATCTCAAGCCAGAAAGTGCCGTGTAAGGGACTTTTCTTGTCTGGCGAATCACCAGCACAGCAGATAGCCATCAATGTCTCCATGCCCAATCGTGCCATCTCTATATGAAGAAGATGGGGACGGGCTGTAAAATTTTCTTGGAGGATTTACGAGAGCAATTCATTATTACTGGTTATACCTTAGTTCATATCTTGGACAGCGCAGCCTCAGACATACAGTCGGCCTCCTCATGGCTCCATGGTATACGTAGAGCCAATGCTCATAATTTCATGTCGGTTATCCTTTAGACAAAAGAACAAACAATTCCTATCCCCAAATTGTTTAATCCATTGCAACTTCGACTGGCATGTGCTCCTCTTTGAAGCTAAATACATCTTCTGTACTTGAGCTCTGTACTTGAGCTCTGTACTTGAACTCTGTACTTGAACTCTGTACTTGAGTCCAGATAGACCATGTTGTACGTCATCGTGAAGTCTTGATGCATGCCCTTTTATGCGAGCTGGATGTTTCCCACGCATATGTAGGGTTGTACTGCTTCAAGATAGCATCCTAAATGTTTCAATAGGCCAGGTTGCTATGCGAGTGCGGCCTACATGTGGGCGTGAGCTAATAATCGCCGACAAGTTGCAGAGCCCATATTTGTGTGTGCGTCAGAATGTAACGCCAAGATGAATAATGTAGTCGTCAAGTACCATTGATGTGGTATATATATTTGGGAGCGGCTGCGGGAATCAGGAGTGGCGCAAACTTCCTTTGTGGCATCTGCGACATCATTCTGAGCAGAACACTGCGTTGTTGAAGTAATTGTACAGAAATATCAGCAAAACGATGGGTTCAAAGCCAGGTTATACAGTTTCTGACCAATGGATTGGACAGCCAAGGCCCGTCCGGGTGGTGGTCATAGGGGCTGGGATCGGAGGTATTGCTGCTGTGAAGCTCTTTCGTGAGACGTTTCGGGATCGCCCGACAACTCTCGTCATTTACGAGAAGAACAACGATGTGGGCGGAACTTGGCTAGAAAACCGCTACCCGGGGTAAGCCTTGCGCAAGCCGAGTTCCCGATCTGATCACTAATATTAGTGATATTAGATGTTCAGTTGATAGTCCCGGGCATACATATACTTACTCTTGGGAGGGAAACCCATCTTGGTCTAGGGCCTATGTAGGCGCCGAAGAGGTTTTAGAATATTACAAAGGCCGTGCGCAAGCTTATGGAGTATATGAATATGTGAACTTCAATCATCGAGTGATTGAGGCGAGATGGGACAGTTACGTTGGCCAATGGAAGCTCAAGATTGAGAAAGAAGGCTCCAGTATCATTGAAGATGAGTGCGAAGTTCTCATTAATGTTTGTGGAATGCTCAAGTACGTTATAAACCCAGATCTGGCTATATCGTGGTAACTGACCTGGATCATACCTCAGCCAATGGAAGTGGCCTAGCATTGATGGCCTAGATACTTACAAAGGCCACCTAGTCCACTCAGCAATTTGGGATTCTAATTATTCATTCAAGGGGAAAACCATCGGCGTTATTGGTTCTGGATCTTCCGCTATTCAGATGGTGCCAAAGCTTCAAAAAGGTGAGTGAGGGCTTTATAGCATCTATTACATCATCTAAAGAAGATTCCATATGCTGATGAATGCTTCAACTAACCAGAAGCCAAATTATTGATCTCTTTCAACCGGTCGCCTTCATGGATAACTCAAGAATTTGGTGCAAAGTATATCCCAGAAGGTCGAGGACTCATCTATTCTGATGAAGAGAGGGAAGCCTGGCGCAATAATCCCAACGAATTTCTGAAGTTTCGAAAGGAAGTTGAAAGCATCTCAAATAAATTTTGGCATGCTAACTTCAAGGACGGACCCGTCCAAAAGGAGTTGTACAAGCAAACTCGGCAGGATATGGAGAAGGCCTTGGGGGGGAATATGGATCTGATATCGAAAGTAGTACCTACATTCGCTGTAGGATGTCGAAGGTGAGAACCAGCTACACTACTGGCATTGATATGAAAGTCTAATGTGTACATAAGAGTGACTCCTGGCCATGGCTATCTTGAGGCTTTGGCCACAGACAACGTCATCGTGAGAAACGATGAAATTAGACGCATCACACCCACAGGCGTCCAGGTGGCTGATGGAACCAACCTCGCTCTTGATGCCATCATATGTGCCACAGGCTTCGACAACTCGTTCCGCCCGTCATTCTCACTTATTGGAGAAAATGGCGTGGATTTGAGAGATGAATGGAGAGAAGAGCCTCGTGCATATCTTTCGGTAGCTGCAGCGGGATTTCCAAATTACTTTAGTGAGCCTTGTGAACCCAGGAAAATTCAACAGTCCGATAGCTAACATTGTTGGTTCTAGTGGCTACAGGGCCAAACGTTCCGTTGGCAAACGGCTCATTAGTTGCATGTTTGGAGCAAACTCTGAAATATGCTTTCAGAGCAGTCGAAAAGATACAGACCCAGGGAATTAAATCCGTGTCGCCGACTCGAGAAGCAGTCAACGATTTCCAAGAGCATAAAGATGCGATAATGGAGAAAATGGTGTGGACTTCACCATGTCGTTCTTGGTAAGCTCATACGGTTGTTCTTGGCTCACTGTTATAATAGTGCTGACATGATATATCTTTCATTTTTAGGTACAAAAATGGTAAGGTAGACGGCAAAGTCTGGGGGCCATATCCTGGCTCAGTGCCGCACTTCTTCGAACTCATGAGCGAAACTCGATGGGAGGATTTCAAGATTGAGTATAGGAATTCCAAATCGATTCCAATATCTAGGTAGGGGAGACACACGTCGAGAAGTTAGCGGAGGAGACTTGGCATGGTATGTTACTGAACCAGGAGCAAATCTCGATGCATGAGAGAGTGAACCATGTACTAGCTTTGAATGCCAAGTTACATATTATCTTGAATCATGATAATGTTTCTCAAATCATGAGACTCGTGTGTAATTAATAATTGATCTCTTTCTGTACATCGTCTTTCGCCATCGATTAAACAGCTCTAGCGATAGTGGTTCCGCCACGCGATGGCCATACTTGTTTGATATCCGAGATTAGCTGTTTGACACCCCCTTTACCGGTATCAGCGACTTGAGATGTTTGCCCAGCGCTATATAATTTGTCAATCATTTCTAACTTTGCAAGTGCCAGCGTGTAGAACTCCCGTGAATGGCGTAAGAAGCTTGGACAAGTCGCAGATTCATCACGATTCATCACAGCACGAGCTTCAGCACCTGTCGGCGTGGGGCTTATACGCTTATTCCATAATGATAGCCATTTGTCCAAAGAATTGAAAAGCGGCGTAATCGTATTTTGTGAAGTGAAGCAAGAGATTTGTTGGCAAAATATGATGGAATGTATCGCTGAGAGGAATACGTGTAAGTAATTGGCTTAGCTGACAAGATCAATCGCAATCACTCTGTTGTTGGTCATACCTGAAATCAATATAAATCCCCCAAGATCTGTGATTTCTGGAAACGAATCGAATGTAGCTGTATTTGTTGTGTCGCATAGCATTTGAATAACTTTGTTTATCTGTGTCTCTCTGTATATACGATAATTGGGACATATCTGCTGCACCGACTGGAAGAACTCGTGGCCTGAATGAGCGTGAAAGCAGCTGTCCGGATATGTAAATGGGAAATTCAGATCGGGAACGGTGATACGAGGCGGTGTCATATGAAAGATGGTAAAGGCCGTGTCCAGCAAAAAGGCGTAAGTTTTGGCGCTACTCGACGATTCGCATCAGTACCCCAAGCATACGCAATCGACAAAGAAGTTAAGAGTATACAGGCTCTTCTTACCGAAGTATCTGTTCTTCGAGGATAAATTCATCCCAGTGTCTTAGCGTTGCCGCCAAATCTGAACCTATCTGTTCATCGGGTTGATGGTATGCTAGCTCTTGAGAGGCTTGGGCGACAAAGGGAAATCGGAACTTTCTGATTCGTTCCTTTGACTTTTCCGATCCTTCCCATGTCTGCAAGGCACACATCAATATGACCGTTTGCAATATTCTCAGTTTGGCATATCTCGTCAGGGTCGGATCTGCTCGACTACCCTGAGTTTCTCGCGACAACCACGGCAGTGAAAATACCAGCTTTTCAACGGGCTCCAACCATTTTCGAGCATTTTGAACATCATTGGGATACTTGGAAACGCAAGCCCCTATGAGTGCTAAGACCAGGACTAATTCTGCTGGAGCTTGAGAGGGGTCGAAACTAGGCGGGTGAATGACTGGGCAGTTTCGATGCCACCTTTTCCAGTATGTATTTAGCAACCTACGGAGATTCAGAGGGTTGAAGAACTCAAGGCATTGTTCGTCCAATGATTGTACGTGGTTGCCTGTTACAAGCTCGTCGATACCAGGCAAATTGAGCAACTTTTCACATATTTCCTTTGTTTGCGGTAGAAGAGGGTCAAACAACCACTCCATAGTTTTTGTGACACGACTCCTCTCTTCAGACTCTTTAACCCATTTGCCACCAGCTTCGTAGTCAATGCTCAGTAAGTCATCGATGGTCAAGAAGGTATCGAAATAAGCGGTGCTGATTCCCTTCTCCGACGAGGTTAGAAAGTTGAATGAAATGTCGAGGCCACCGCATAAAGTGAAGTTGAGAAGAAACTCAAAGCGCTCAGCTTCAAAAACTTGAAAATGCAACCCCCTGCTTCCCTGTTCCGAAACGAAGCAAGAGTGGCTGAAGGGAATCGAAGTGGCTGTGAGAGTTGTGAGGGTGAATGGCGACAGTGCCAGCGACATGGACAAGGTTGGTTTGACAGCTACCATAGGTCCACCACCAATTCCTGTCAAACGATGAAGCATTTCTAAAGAAGAAACATCGTCCGTTGACTGGAAATTGTGTGAATTTGGTTTGTGCTCTGGAGGCGAGCTCATACGACAGTAAGAACACGAGAAGCCTCTCACTAAGCAAGTCCCACAAGGCGAATTAAAGTCGCACGCTCGTTTACCGCTTGCACATTGATCACAGGCCCTCCGTTTCCTACCTCGTGTCGCCGGATTAGGAATAGAATGACCTGCAGCCTTTCGCAAGAGACAAGATTTCCAGTGCTTGCGCAGGGAGTCTCTAGATGCCAATGGTATAAGTCACCTTCATAGCATGGTGGGGCTTACATGTAGGCAAGATTTCAATGTTGCGTACCTGCGTGTAAACTTCCATAGGCAATAAGTGCATTGATGTAATTCATGGTCGCCGTCTGTACGATGACAGTCCCGTTTGACACCTGTTAGTCATGATTCCGGAACAGGGCGAGAAGCACCTACGGGAAAGCTGATGCCTTTTTAGATGCGCAGAGCGCCCAAACGAGGCTGAACAAGTGTTGCAAGTAAACCCGGAGTCGCCCATCTTGGCCGGCCGGGAGGCTCGCAATACGGAGTAACTGAACGTGCTTGATGAACTCTGTCATGCAACCAGGTCCAGTCGGTCCCAATCAAACACGCAGCCCGCGCAAAATCTCCAGCGGCCCGAAGGAAATGTGGAAGTGAAGCAGAAACGAGGAATCCGGTCGAGGTTCTTGATGACAAAGAAATTGAAAATGCGGCCTTGTCGCAAGTCAATAAATCTGTGCCGGCTTCAGCAAGTCCTATTTTACCGCTCCGAGGACAATGGAATATAGTGATGGATTGGAGCGTCCGGCTCGGCCAAGTTTCCGGCACCGAGCAGTCGGGGAAAAAACGCTGCTGGACGGGTATTTGCCGCAACCCCCTGGCTCATTGGATTGCCATGCCCTTGGGTTGGCCGCTGTAAAAAGGCCGGATGACTAAAATTGGGGAGATGATTCACCGGGAAGAGACGAATATGGTATAGATTACGTGACCCCTGGCATCGGTAACAGAGTTGCTGCTGCGGGGGACCGATATAGAATGGATGACATGCACGGAATACGGACTGACGGACCCCGAAGTCTGAGTCCGCATGAGAAGTTCCTGGAATCTGGGGTAGCCGTATGCATAAATATGCTAGACAAATATTCACTAGGTCCCAAGCCGAGATGGAGAAGCGGTGCATGTGTACGACTCCCAGAACACCTCCGGAAACTTAGGCAACTTGTCCATAGTCCACAAAGACACTGACGGAAAGGATTAATTATCCGAGAGATTCATATCCAGCTGGAGTCAATTTTAATCCCCGTAGTGCCGATGTACCCGAAGAAGGAGACGAGTGGATCTCCGTCATTGGGAATAAGACTACATGTACTCGAACGTCCAGTCTCGTGTTTCCAAGACTGCGTGAATTCACAAAGTTGATTGATCATTTAATGTATTTTTATCGAATGTTACGTAAATGGAGCAAAGGACTGAGGCCATGTATCTGAGCCCAGGTGTCTCTTGCTGTCCACTCGAAAAGACGCTTTGTAGTGATGATGGATTGGCTGCTCTCTAGTCGCATGAGCCAAGTAGGTTGATCTCTGTGATTATATGTGATTCAAAAAAGAATAACCTTGATAGTTTGTGTTGTAGAATGTTGCCATTTATTGGGATCAATGATCTATGTCCTCACGGAGATGGACTCAATTCACTGAGTGCTGTCCTTTTCGCGCAATACAGTCACAGTCACAGGCACATGACGCGGTAAATAGCCCGACGTCTGAGCATTTCCTATGCCTTTTTTCAAGGAATTATAATTACAGACGCTCACCATCTCTAACATATTAGGCATCCTTTATGTTTTACACAGCACTGCTCCTAAAGATCCGAGGTGTTGTAGTGTTAGTCCTCGGGATAGCCGCCTCAAAATCCTACCCTATTCTGACACTTCACCATAAAGAACAAGGGATCTCACACAATATGGGATTTTGACCTCGGAAGATCGCACGTTTGTATTTTGATCGGTGTGCCTGGTATGGAAATAGGAGCCGCACATACGATACTTCCGTCACGAGATTCCAATTCGGGCAACTTTGCCAGTTCAGTGTGAGCGGGTAAATCCCGCCTCCCACCTCCCACTTCAAGCGCAAGCATCGCGGAGGATCTATACTAAGAACCACTGGCGCTGAATTGTGACATAATTGTAGACAAGACTATTCTTTTGTCTGATGTTTCTTCACGAGGGTGAGAGGGGAAGTTTGAGACCATGAATCAGATGGAGATGGGATAATTGCTGTCTCTTATATAAAGGGCCGTGTCCGGCGCTCTTCCATTCAAGTCCAACTACTTAGTCAAGCTGAATACAACATAAAAAGCAAAGCGCCAACTCAAATTCATCATTCACAATGAGTCAATACACAGCCGGCCCCAAAACTCTCAATGTCGGAATAGTGGGAGCAGGAATCGGAGGACTCACTGCGGCCATTGCAGTGGCCAGGGCTGGAGCAAAAGTGACTCTGCTTGAAGCTGCTCATGAGCTGGGCGAGATTGGTGCTGGAATTCAGGTATGTTACCCCATGAATCTTCTCCATTATCTAATAATGTCTCAGATGTTTCCCAATGTGTCTCGATTCCTAGTGAGATGGGGCGTAGACAAGATCATTGGCGACAACATTGTCTATCACCACGAATGCAACACATACTTTGGTCCTGATGCCACTCTGATTGCACATTCTTTGGCTTCTGACCTAGTTGCAAAGGCTGGATTCCCCTGGTGAGAAGCTAACTTTCCAAATGAAGTACTTCTCTAACGTGCGGTGGTTATTTACAGGTTTGTTGTCCGACGCGACCACTTGCATTATGGCCTGACTGAATCGGCACGTCGCCATGGCGTCAAGGTGATTGTAGGAGCTCGTGTCAATGAGATGCAAGACTCGGCAGACGGTGTCCATCTTCAGACCACAACTGGCGATAGATACTCGTTTGACATGGTCATTGGTGCCGATGGCATCAAATCCTTCATTCGATCACAACTGCTGCCCGGCATCGTTCCCAAGGCAACTTCCAAGATAGCCGCCTACCGTGGAGTGTTGTCGTATAAGCAGATATTCGACGAAATCCCAGAAGCGCGCTCTTGGCTGGGAAACAACATGGACGTCTGGGCCGGTCCTAATGGCTACATCCTCACGTATCCCATTGCAGGAGGCAAAGAGCTCAACATTGTCACCGCCTTTTGCAGAGACGACTACGTAACGAAAATGGAGCAGGTTGATATTGAAGAATTTCGAGACTATTACAAGGACCATCACCCAATCATTCAGAAGATCCTCAAACTGGTCAACTACACACAGAGATGGCCCCTTCTGCAGATGCCTCCCGTGGAAACATGGTCCAACAAGCACAAGAACGTGGTGTTGCTGGGCGACGCAATCCACTGCATGCAAAACAACATGGCACAAGGCGCAGCAACTGCCATGGAAGATGGTGCCTTTCTAGGCCGCATCATCAGTGAGGTTGTCCGCGGCGTCATTTCCATCCCCGAAGCTATTCAACTCTACGAGAGGCAACGAATGCCCAAGGCCTGGGTTAAGCAACAGATTTCCTACATGTCCGGAGTCATCAACATGATGACCGACCCAACGGAGCGCAACAAGGCTGCTCTCCCAGAGACTCAAGCTGCACTTGAGAACCCCGTCCGTCCAACACATTTACCCACAACCTACCGATCTTGGCAATGTTATTGCACGGCCGATTCCGTCCCCGGCATCTTTTACTATGACGCTGAAGGTGATGCGGACAGCGCCGTGTGCGAATATTTGTGCAGTAAAGGACCTGTTGACGATATTCAACAGCTCAGCGAGAATCTGGCGAACAAATGGATGGGTTATGTCCACAACAATGGATTGACTATGCAGAATGGCGAGGCGAAGTCGGAGAAGGGACCTGCTTTGACACCAGCGGATTATCAACGATACACAAGCCATCTGCATAAAGATAATTAACGATTCATATTTGCATTTACTTTCGGCTGATGGCACGTATAAGCTACGTCGATCGCATTCAAATTGATAGCGTTACGATGCAGCTCCTATAGTTGATGATTTTATCGATGCACTATACACTGTAGGAGCACCCGTATATTACCTATGAATAGATCCGGTTCTGCAGTCACCCGAGGCGAGAATTGTGATAAGCGATGAATGCATACACGTGAAAAGAATCACAAAGTCAAATTCACCATTACTCCATTATGCCAATCCCGTTCCCATGCCTACCTACCATTAAGCCTTTTCCCTCATCCTATACATACGTATACACGCTTAATTCTAATATGCTATAGTCATTCTATCCTAAAAACTCCGCCAATTCCCATTACACCATGATTATATAAACTCAGTCTGGTTTCGTTTGGTCTTTTCATCCCCGTTATTACACTGCCTCCATACCAAGGGGCCCAAGCATTCAAATGTCCTGCAGAACATGCATCAAAAAGATGGAAAAGACAGAAAAATGACGGAGCCGTGCCTAACATCACGAACTCCGTCTCAAAGAAAACCCCCTCAACTCTTGGTGTCCCAGCATGAAGGCTAACACTGAAGCGCCATGTTGAAAAACGTCACTCTCGTTCGTCCATAGCTGCCATCCTGTCCAACAAATGGCACTTAGCTCAAGCACACTTGTCATGGAAGCGATGCACATGGCCAGTCTGGACAAGTCAGCGCCACCACGCAAGATCTGGTGTGTGGCACCTCCAACGCTGCGGATAGCGATGATGCCAGCAATAGCTAGGATAGCAAGTCGTGCTTCTCTAGCATAAGGAGTGTTAATGAATTGGGGAATGAACCAAGAAGGAAGGATGGCCATCAAAAAGTAGAGGTCGTATTTGTGTGAGGTTTGCGAACTAGAGAGGATGGGAATTTCAACCTGAATATCTTCGTTCACAACGGTTTTCTCAGAGTCGGATTCGTCGTCGATGACGCTGGCAAAACTGAAGCTCTGTCCAAGGGCATCTGCCAGGGCATCCGTATCGTCAGGGCCCTCTGGTGCGAAGAAGCTAGGGCTCTTAAAGTCCACACTGCTGGCTCTCGGTATTTCTTCTCGCCTGTCGTCCATATGACCCATTCCGAAGCTAAATCTGCCCTCTTCTTTCCTTGGCTCGACTGAAAACGCTCTCTTAAACAGGGGAGCACCGGGCGGGTTACGAAATCGCTGTGCTGGGTTCACCGGTGCGGGCGGTACCTTGTACCAGAATGGTCCGGCATCAGGCTGAGTAGGGGATTGGCCGAATGGACGCGCGCCTAGTTTGGACACGGGGGAGTCTTGAAATGCCCGGTATTGCGATTTTTGAGCATGCTTCGGTAGAGGGGACCAATCCATCGCATCAGCATCCTGTGCGCGAAAGCCCTTTTGAGGAGACTTGTCTGATATGCTGAAGCCGGCAAAAGAAAGTTCATCATGATTTGGTTGGAATGGCTGTTTGCTGAGTCGGGAAGGCGGCAATGGGTTTATTGGTCGCTGAGGAGTGGGATATTTGATAGGCGTTGGGGTTTTGACTGGCGACGGGTTTGCCGATTCGAGGGCATCAGTCAGAGCCTCGGCAAGAGTCTTTGGTTCTCTTATTTTCCTTCTCGGCGCCGGTGAAGGCTTCTGGTTTGCAGACGCCGTCCTCTTGGTTATCTTAAATAGCGGTGTGGTATCGACCTTGATAGACCCCCTAGCAAGATAGTAGATCTGAAGTTTTGGTCAGCGATGAAAGGTTGACATGAAGTGGGAAAGCAAAGGAAGCAAATTCGGATATAGTAGTACTTACCAGTCCCATAATGGAAGCCATTGCAAAATGCGCGCTCAGCTGCGCCCCAGTGGACTGGGCCTGGCCTCCTTGCATATGGAGAACAGAGCGGAAAATGTGTCGGAAGAAGATGATGAGGCCTTGAAAGCAATACCACTGCGCGAATCCAAAGAGGTGCCGTGTAAACCCACGAATAAGCTGCACAATATACGGATTCCACCAAGCAGAGAGAAACCCAACTCTGATGCTCCATCCAATTAGCGTCTCAGCAGCGGGCAGGAAAGCCCGTAACCAGTTTAACCATGCAACAATCATCTGCTTTGTCGTGCCCTGGTCGTCCGGATCAACCATGCCGTTCTCTTCACGCTTGTCTAGCACGGTTGAGGCGCTCACCAAGTGCCAGACAATCTGAATGATAAAGCCTCCCCACCACAGCCATCGCCCTATAGTGTTTGCCGCATCAAGGGAAGTCATCCTCTTAGGAACTCTTCTGCCTCTACTCTTTTCCAACATCCGTCTCAGATGGTCGGTTTTTGCAGTGTAGCCCGCCTGCTCTAGGCGTTGGTCAACTTTCTTCTTGCAGTCTGCGCATTCTTGAGGATAGCGCTTCTCCAGGTCTCTACGGTAGCGATAGTATTTGCGATCCAGTTCGGCATATTCTGGGTGAGAGGGGTCGTCGGGGAAATACTGCGCCAATGATCTGGTAAATAGGCGTTGGTTCTTTAGACACTTTTCGCAGAAAACGCTGTTCGTGGGTGAGAGTGGTTGGGATGGTAATTGTTTGACGAATCGCTTTGGTGTGGAAGATTCGAGGGCTGGAGGGTCGGTGACATCGCCATACTAGATGCCTTTGTCAGCATTAACACTGATCGGAGATGAACAAATTTCACAGTTTGCGCCAATTCTAGTTGAGGAATGTGTTGACGGACCTCGTCCAGATAGTTTCTCGCCTCGCAATATGTGCAGAGAAAGTCGCGTATGTGGCCATCGTATCTGGTGGATGACCGCTTCCCGCAATAGAAGCAGGTCAGCAGCCTCCCCCTCAGGTGCACCATGGTCTGCCCTATTGCTGCCGCTCAGTCGTTCGTAAGGAGTCGCGATGTATCCAAGAGGCTGTATGATGACGGCTGGCGCGACGATGCGGCGATGGGATTGGCAGAGCTGCAGCAAAATCGAATGCAGGGCGGCGATTTAATGCTGCAGCTTTGGTCTGGAGTTTCTAGAAAGTTGGCGATTCTGCCAGGCGGTCAGCGCCACAATTTATGCCATAAACACGCTAGCAGTCGCAGATTCCAGCGGCTCATCGGCGTCACTAGCGCGCTAAACGACCTAAGCCGGGCTGCTGTACCCCAAGAGCCCCGCTGAATACCATTGGCTCCAGTGAGTTTAGGTGTGTTATCATGTCACTTCGGTGACGGCCTCAGATGAGGGCCAACTCTCCATCTATCATCCACATATTCGCTATTATTTGGCGAACCATTAAACTTGCATCCACAAGGCACTCACAGTTCATCTTTAGGCTCTTTTACTTGGATACTTTAGTTTCATGCTTGGACTCCGAACAATGCCGTCAATATGGCATCCTTAGCACCTGCGTTACCGCTTTCCTCGGCATCCTCAACCGCCTCTCTCCCATATCATCTCACCATCCGGTTTTCAAATTCCCTCCCAGATCTGGACCTAGATGTCCCATCTCCGCAAACCACCACAATTCTATCTCTGAAGAACCTCATACGAGAGCGCCTCTCCTCGCGGAACCGCCTTCGCTTCATCTACCAGGGCCGCCTCCTCCCCGATTCCTCAGCCCTCAGTTCCAGCATCAAGCCACCTCCTGCCCCGTCTTCATCCCCATCAACTCATGACAGTGATTCCAAGAGCAGATCCAAAGGAAAGGGCAAATCTGTGGACGGTGGCACGACTCCTGTAAGGATATACATCAACTGCTCTATTGGCGATGAGCTCTCGCCCCAAGAACTCGCCGATGAGCAGGCGGCTGCGGCCAACCCCCCTGATGAATCATCGAGCGCTGCCTCATCCCATCCAAATGGCAATCCCTCATCATGGACACGACCTCGTCCACGTGGTTTCGACCGTCTCCTCCAGACAGGCTTCACGCAGTCGGAAATCGAGACGCTACGCACACAGTTTGCCTCCATTCGCACAGAAGGCTTTGCGCCGGACGCCATGCCTTCACCGGACACTCTGCGCAACATGGAAGATGAATGGATCGACAGCAACGCTGGAGGCATCCCTTCGTCCAATGCTGCTACAGAGGACGATCTCAACGGCATGTCCAACATGCTGGACGTTATGATTCGCGGCATGATGGTGGGGTTCTTTTTTCCCTTGGGGAGTTTGGCCTGGTTACTGCGCTCAGATGTATGGAGTGAAAAGTGGCAGGTCTTTGTAGGTTCTGGAGTAGCACTGAGTCTATTGGTGGGAGTTGTCATGAGCATTACCAACATTTACTACTGAGGGAGAGTATCCGGGGTAGCATCTGCGTCTCCATGAGTACATTACGAGCGTGTCTTTGACTTAGGAAATACAATATCCTACATTGGATCTCTTTACTGCAACGCTCACCAATTATCATATACCCACTTTGTAGGTATTCCAGTAGGGCTTTGTCTGTTTGTAAGGTCTTTTTATTTCCGTGATACATGTTCTGTTGCTTAGGAGCTTCAAAAATGAGCTCCAATTAGCATGTGAAAGTGAAACATGTGACGCACGTCATCAGGTATCAGGGCAAGAACAACCAGCCTAAGATTATCTTATCTTCAAACAAAAACAAATCATTAATCAAAATACTGGGAAGGTACGTAAAAACTACTTCTACTTCTATTTTTTCTTTCTCGTGGCATCATTCTTCTATCGCTTCATGACTTCTCCTTCACTTCATTCTCTCGCGGAATAGCCGCCTCTTCATCAGATGGATGCTCTGTAGATTCAGATACTTCCTCTGAATTCGCCGCCTCTCTCGCGCGCAGTACCTTGGTTCTCACCTCCCAGCCACCAGACCAACCGAACCAGCCTGTCTCATGTGGTCCTCGAACAAGAACAAGCAGCAGGCCGGCGCCAATGAGGCCGATGGATAGAGAGCCGCTTCTGATCCATCCGCCGCTTGCGTACAGCTTGTTTCCTACAGCCGTTCCGAACAGCTGGCCGCAGAAAGTGAATACCATATACACTGAGTTGACTGAGTTCTGGGCAGTTGGCTCCACGCTTGCAAACGCCATTCGGTTGGAAACAGTTACAATGTTCATGCCCAAGTCTCCGATACTCGCCCAGATGACTGGGCCGGCCAACGAAAAGGTGCCGGTAAAGGTTCCGATACAAACCGCCGCGAGCAGTATGATATGCCCTATGATCAAGGTGCCGCTCGGGTGCACGCGTGTCATAACCAGTCGTGAAAAGATTGGGCTAAAGAGAACCGGCGACATGCCCACCAGGGCGAAAAGACCAATGACAAGAGTCGATAGATGGAAAGGCGGCCCCGCGAGCTGAAACGTCAGGGTGGTCCAGAACGAAGTAAACATTCCCATGAGTAAAAAGGAAATGAGCGCCGACTGTGTTAGCACGGGATGCTTGAAAGGCAGCTTTACCATCTTGACGAGGATGCTGGGATAGGACGCGCCTGGTCGCAGCACAGGGAAGTCTGGCAACAGCAAGAAGGCGAGAATGACAATTGCAAGCTGCAAGCCAAACGACATCCAGTAGATGTTTCGCCAGTTTGTGTATTCCGTCACAATGCCGGAAAGCAATCGAGCCACCAGAATTCCAAAGACGAGCCCAGACATGACGATGGCGGTCATGGTGGGTCGGTGTCGAGCTGGGGCATAGCGCACAGTCAGAGGAAACATGAGTTGCGGTGTGACGGTGAAGAGACCAACGACATAGGACAGCCCGAGGAAGGACTCGAAGGTTTTCGTCAAAGTACAGCCAAGCCACTGTCATTCAAATCATTAATCACAAAGGTTTCGAGAAAACAGAAAGGAGACCAATATCCCATCAACTTACAAACAACGATGTCACGAAAACCAAGCTGATGATCATTGGCCGGCGGCGCACAATGTCGCCAACGGGGACGATGAAGAGCAAGCCAGTGGCATAGCCAGCCTGCAAAACCGTTGGAACCAGCGAAGCCCGCTCATCCGTAATTCCAAAATCCTCCGCTATGATGTGAAGAATTGGATGTGTATAGTAGAGATTTGCGACACTAAAGGCTGCCACCTGGAAATCGACCATCAGCATCGCCATCGCAAAGGTCGAGGGTGTGTGAATCATACAAATCCAAACACGCAAGTCAGAGGCCATGACATTTCGAAGTTCTCGTCCGGATTCCATCTTGACCACGGCGGTGTCCAGAGGAGCTTGGAGATGGTCTGGGAAAGGCCGGTTGAAGCCTTTTCGCCCGCGGTGTCTTCTCCAGTCGCTGCCATCGCTGCCATCGCTATCGGTTCCGGCCGGTGATCTTTGTCTCTCAGGTGGTCTCTTCTCCTGCGAAGAAAGCTGCGATCTCAGCGGCTTCGGCTCGTCAATGCCCCCTCTCTCCTCCTTTATAAGCGACCGACTGCGCGTACAAGACACGCCGACGAAATTTTTGGATGTTGACGGCAACGCAGTTCCGTTCTTTACCCAATCAATAGAGTCGTGAGGGGCTTAACATCCAGCAGCTTATCTCCGCCAGACCCTTCGGCCATTGCTATGCTCCTGACAAATGGTTAATTTGTCAGCCCTGGCAGGTCTCCCATATGCTTGAGAGAACTCTATCGACTCAACTCCATCAATATTTTCTCATCAATGGCAAGTTATGAGTTGCAAAGCTTCAAAAAGGCTCAAAATAGGTCTCTTTTTGATCGAATTCTTGCCCATTGTCCCGTTTTGGAAATACTAAATGGCCAATCAAATGCAACGGGTAAGACCAGCGGCCCGTGCAGTCGCCACATCATCTCCGCTAAGGCGTGATTGCTCTCGTTTTGACTAATCCAATCCGTATTGATGAGGCTTCAGCCGTATTAATAGAGGAGTTTGGTTAGGAGAAAGAACTCAGGATATCGAATTAACTCCGACATAAGCTGCTCATTCTGAGCGATCGAGGCTGAATCTGCCGTGTGATCTGCCGTTTGATCGTTTTCGGCAGACAAAGCTACGAACTCTGCTGGAAAGCGTCAGCAATGGGATGATGTTTTCTCTTCTTATATTACACGGCATCCGACTTGTTCATGGTGAGAAAGCCGAGAATACGGCCTTAACCACATATAAAAGCTAGGTTTTAATCGTCATTCTACACTGCCAGCTTCGCGTCTTTGAAATAATGCATCGACAAGTCTTGATGATGTCTTTATACTGCCTCCATGCGGGATGCGAGACCAAACTCCTCCAAAGATTACCCTAGACACCCATGATATCAACAATCGTTCCAATGAACAGCAGGGTCGTGAATAGAAAACAAAACAATCGACAAACAAACAAACAAACAAACAAACAAACAAACAAATCAATGAACAGAGTGGCTGCTCATGGTCACGAACTTTCGACAGCACGTGTTATAAACTTGTGCAACTGAAGCCCGCTGAGGCAGTCTGAGGCGTGAACGGGATCCAAGCTGTTCGAAGTATCCAAGCTATTCGAAGCATCCAAGCATCAAACCAATATATTAATTCATAAACCTCAGTCCCGATGAGAAGATAACAAACTTTTCCACAACAACGGCTAAAAGCTACATCGACAGGCGGTTTCTTATCGCTGTTATCATGACAAGGGTCCCACCAGGAGATTCCATGCCCTTTGACAGTTTTCTCTTTGCGCAATCACTTTCCAACTGCTGAAACGTACATGATACGTAACGGTACCAACAGACCGTTCAATAAACTCCATACCCTACGGAGAAGAGCGAATCTACAGCAAACCTTGGAAAAAGCAAGGAGATGAGCAGCAGGGATAATACATTGAGGCCACCCCGGTGACTCGAGTCAAGGATCGGAGCAACGTACCCTTTCATTGACCGTGGTGAGACTCCACTGGTCTGTGCCCGATCTTCACCTGTAACACATATTAAAATCAACATGACTGACCGCCTCAAGATCATCAATTAACTCCCATGGATACCTACTCCATACTCCATACTTGGATAGCTTTCTTCTGGGCACATGTCTGCTCCAGAAAGCACACCCTTGTCCAGTCCTGGTTTCAATATCCGGCAGTCTGGACTTCTTACGGAGTGCCATGGTGAACTATTGGTTCAACACGTGAACCGGTAGTCAACTCCTTATCTGCCGTGCCATATTCCTTGACCATTTGGCCTCCTAAATGTAAAGGCTATTGTTTCCAAGAGACAATAGTGTGTAACGACACGGGATTCAGTTTTCGTCAGGTCCGTACGGAACCCAACTCTAAAGGTAATCTTGATGCTACAGTATTACCTGTAGGATGGTACCAGATTAACGGTGTCTTGTGATACGATGGCTTCTTGAAGATCATGAACAATTCTGGCCATTCTCGCCACGTGCCGAGCGAGGAGCCATAGTCAGCTCGACCGGGTCATTTTCCTCTCCATCCAGATGCCGGCGGAACCGAACTCGTTTAAGAGCTGAGAGCCCTACTCAAGACAAGAGGCTCCACGATGAAGTGGTCTCGTGGGCTATCATGAAATATGGACCAGCCCTCAACAACTATCCAGAGGAGCAAAAGTGCCTCTAAGCTCATGCTCCGAACCCCGTTCCAGGAACTCGGGCCAAGGAGGACGAAGCTCTGGGCAAATCAGGCTGTCTTCTTGCAAAACGTTGCGGTCTGTTTTGATGTATCACATCCTTACCTGGCCAATTTCTTGCAGTAGCTTGTCTAGAATGCAGGCACTCTGATACTAGCACAATCGAGACTGCTACGCATGACTCGGCCACTGGAGCCCGCTGCAATGGAGAGAAAATTACAGTTTTATGAGAGCCAGGGTTCACGGAGCTGTCAAGGCAACGTCCACAGCTTGTTGGCACTCGGCCGCACCAATAAGCCGGTCCCCTCCCACTCATTCTCCGTCCGTGGAGAGGCGATTCCCGCTTCGACATAACCTTTGTCGACCTAGGGCTGTCGCAGGAACAAGGTCCTCCGGTTTAAGTCTTCCCCCCCGCGCTATATACGTGTATACTCCAGGGGGGGAAACCGCACCGCGCGCACGGGTGCGCTCAGCTTTTTGATCGGCCAAGCACATAAACGAGTCAAACGGTCTCTGGGGTACGTCTTGCATTTTTGCAAGATACCCAGCGGTGAATTGCTGTTTTGGAGGAGTCCCGCGTAGAATATTCCCAATTTGTCAACCCCAGAGAGGATTCCGGAACTTACAAGGCTTGGGGGAGGGGGGCCGCAGCAGCCTTCCGAATCAGCAAGTTCATACAGCAAAAGCCTCCGGGTTTAGCAAGGCAATTTATATCGAACATGCATGTGCCGTCGCAACATGGGCAGCATTGTGGCTGGGGTACGAACATGCCCAATGCTACTGTGATGGCCAGAGAAAGCTGGCGGGAACAGTGTGAGAGTGAGACGATGATACCTAGGCACGCGCGAGGAGAGAAAATACCTAGGAAGAGGGTGTCATCCCATCCCATCTTTCTCCGCACTTCCAAAGGGGGGCTAAATTGAAATTGTGACTGAAAAAGGTGACGAGAATCTATGTCATCCAGGCATAATGGCGTGCGGGAATCACATCGAGATTTTGCTGCGCCTTTTGCGAAACTTGGTCACGGACCGGCACAATAAGCAAGCAACCTGCCCCAAGTTTTTTTCTTGGCAAAAAAAGCTTAGAATGTGATGCATCACACAGGCGGCGCGGGCTGGTCTTGGAGTGCGTACGTGTATAATGCGAAGGGGGGGAAAACGGGCACTACATACGTGGGAATTTCGATCCAAGACATTTCCAGCTTAAGGCGAAAAGAAGGAAGAAGATCTAGTGGCGTCTTTGTTGCCGTCATTCTCAGCTCCTTGGGTCGAAAAGACGGCAGAGGAGGCGGGCTGGTCTGCACATCAGGCCCCAAAAGGGGATCGAGCTCGAGGGGACGATACGAAAGCCTTTTTAGCCCTTTTTCTTGCTTCGGTGTCCCTTCGCTTCCTCCCTCCCTCTCCCCTTGTCAAGCGACATTTTTTAGTTGGAGTGAGTTGAGTGGTTAGTACCTGCATGGTCCCTGGTTCGTTTCTGCAACGGCACAGGTTGTGACTAGCAGGGATGGGGAGCTCCGCACGCCGAGGCGACTTCGCCGAAGTAGTTGCGTAGATGGAACGGCTTTCTTCTCCAGTGATTACGATTCAAGAACGGTATCGTATCCATCCGGTTGGGAATTGGGACACACGTGGGTAGCTTGCGTGTACTTGTATGACCATCTTTTGTTGGTGATGTCTAACAGTTTGACCATGTTGTATGTACAGGGTTCTGAACCAGCTTCTATGATAATGACAGTTTCCGCCCTCTTCCACGACCCGAAAAAAAAAGGGAATCAAACAGTAAACCTCCCGCCCTCCCAAATTGAAAAAACGCCCGTTTTCTTTGCGGAGCGAATGGCCCGCCTGCCCTTGTTCCTCACCGCGGCTCAACCTCGCAGCCGGGACTGCAAAATAAGTGAACCAGGGGTGGGCAACACAAAAAAATGACAACTCCCGACACCTATTCCCAAACGACGATAGCTCACATGTATGCGGACATTACACCTTACATGTATATTTCAGCCACCCCGGTAAAACGACGCCTCCGTGCCTGACTAGCCCCCTGCAGATGCAGTTCCCTCTTTCTGTCCTGGTGACCCCCAAGTACCTGTAGTATAATCGACCTGCGCCGGGCAAACACCTCCTATCGCACACACTCCGGTACGAGGTTGACGGATGGATGCCGGTTGCGCTTGGTTTTCTTGTTTTCATGATTCCCCCATCCCCCCCAGCCCGTTTTCCCTCTTTAGCCGGCAGAGAGAGAAGGGGAGGGGGGGATTTGGGGGTGTTAGTTCATGGTAATAACACACAAAAGGAAAGCCAAAAAACAAAAGGGTAAACAAAAAAAAAGAAGAGTGAAATAAAATTTGTAAATGAGTCGTAAACGGGGCGTCGTCAGATGATCGTCAAGCACTATTTCCCTGAACGAACAAGTTTTTTTTTCTTCGGGGAACAACGACGAGGGCCATGAGTTCATGTTTCTTTTTAGTACCCCGCCGGCTTATCGACCGACTGTCGTTGATCCTTGAAGGGATCTTCGTGATATCGAGCGACGGGCCTCGCCGTGGCAACGAGCGGGATGTCGTCGACGCTGGAGTTGTGCATCCCTGCCGACGAGGCAATCTCCTCGTCGTCGAGCTCGTGGTCCCGCTTGCCTCGCCAGTTGCTGCTGGTGAGCGTCCCGGACTGGTTCTGGCTGCGATCGCCCGACTGGCGCGACAGGTTGCTGTTGGTTGCGTACGAGGTGACTTTGTATTTGAGCACCCGGAACATAGGGCCCAGTGTGGGTAGCGATGCGCCGATGATGAGCAAGGCCCCCTCGGCGACACCAAAGATGTCGAGGTATGGGACTGAATCTGTCGTAATATCAAGATTAGCAAATGTTGATCCTTTCCAGAGTTTTTTTTTTTTTACTCCACATGTTCTTCTGTTCTCCCCTCCCCTCCCCTCCCAGTTGATAACTCACATGTGCGATCCACCTCCATCTCTTTAAAGGCATCTTGGAATACTGTAAGCTTATAGACTGACACGGCGCACGCCATGGCGCTGAGGCCAAGGGCAAAGCACACGGCCAGCCGGTTTCTCAGAGGCATGTTGAGCCTCATAATAAAGGGAATCGGATAAAACGCAAAGAAAAGGTCGAGAAAGGCCGAGTACGCCGACGTTGCAAACGCCAGGCTCGTCAAGACCTCGCCGCTCGCACACCAGCCCCCCTCGATAGACTTGTCCCACTGGTAGGCTACGGGGTGGCACTGGGCGAACCACCAGACCGACACGGCGAGGAAGCAGGCCTGGCAGGTGATGGCCAGGCCGAGGAAGAGCACCGTCGTCTTGGTTCCATAGTCGAGGATTCGTTTGAGGATGGCGATGATGGCGAACTTGGGAAGGGAAAAGGACCAGATGACGACGGCGTTAATGATGGCGTTCCATTTGATGGCTTGCTCGAGCTGGTCCGGCGCCAGAGTGTCTTCCCGCCGCCCCAGGCCGTAGCTGATGCCGATGGTGGAGCAGATGCAGCTGACGATGAGGATGACGAGGCAGACAAAGGTTACCAGGTCATCGAGGCCGAGGCGGCCATATCTGCCTCGGTGGAAACACGCTCGACAGATGATGCGAAGTACGACGATGACTACAGGCGGAGAGAAGAAGAAAGAAGCTCAAGTTAGCAAGGATTGACATGGAAACGTTTGGGCCAGAAGCAGAGAGGGCTTGTCAAACCTATGGAAATGGCAGTTAGAGACCAATTAACTCGGTTGGCCACGACGCCGAAGTCCTCAATCACCCCAAGTCCCATCTGGTAGTGGTGTTGTGAACCCGATTACCGTCCATCCATGTATACATATATCCGAGCCCACGCCAACGTGAGAAGAGTGACGAAGCACTATTCTCGTCTCAAGAGGGTGCCCGGGACGATACTAATAAGGAGGTGGGATGCACCCTGTACTTGTACTGTAGCAATCCCAGGCCCAGGCCAACGACCGAGCATGTATGTACCTCGTACTCCCGTGCTCTGCAAAGTCCATTAGGATGAGTACTGGGTAATTAACGACAGCCGGCCTCAACGGCTGCTCCACCCTCGTGCGCAACGGACGACGCCACCGCTAGCAGTTACCGATGGGGGAGCCTCATGCCGGGGACGTGGGAAGCAGAGGACGGAATGCACGTCACAACGTTCAGCTTCATCCCACGTTTAGGACGGCCGCCCGTCGCAGTCGAGGCTTGGTGGAACAGCAACAGGAACAGGAACAGGAACAGGAACAGACAGGCCTCGTGGTTGGTACAGTAGCTTGTTTGGGTAATCTTCCACCCCCCCTGGCCACGTTCTCCATACCTGGCCATTCTCCAACATGGGCCTCCCTTTTCCTTGGAAAAAAACAAAAAGGTTTCCAGACCTTCTGTCACCGTCGCAATAAGGCCCAGTCTAAAAACCGGGCGGAGCGCCTCATCCCAAGAGAGATGGTCAGCCTGCCTGATAAGATTGTCCAAGGTGAAATTGGCCCCTTGGGCTAAAGCAGCATTTCTCCACCACGGCCAGGCACGTCGCCAACTTAGTAGCCTTTCCGGAGTCATGCTAAGGCCAGCGCGATGAACCATTTTGGAATTCCAGCGCCGCAAGCGCGCGGGGAACATTGGGGGATAGATGCCGGCGTGCTTTGTACAAAGTGGCATTCCTCGTATGTCTGATATGGCGGTGTCGACTCACGCCGAGGCTGTTTGCGAGCTTCGCCATAGTATTAGTGGCAAGGTAGCTGCGGATTCTCATTTCTTTGCTCGTACGAGTACGGGCACTATCTCGCACACGCTTTCTCTCTCTCTCTCTCTCTCTTTTGTCATTGTGCTGTAATCACAAACGATCCGCTGGGTCGAGAACCTGAGCCCGGCACGCAACAAGAACCGAGCGTTTTTGACCAGGTCAGCTTTGCAAGCCCGCGGGTTTTATTGTTGCCCCCTGGACATGACTGCCTTGTGGAGATTTCGGTTCGCAGAAGTGTTGTCGGGCCATCCGCGATTGGGTCGCTCCAACTGTGCATTCTCTTGACACAGCCATCGCCTCTCTGGTTGGAAGGGTTTTTTCGTTTCTTTTTCTTCTTGACTCGTATTGCTGTGGCAAAAAAAAAAAGTGAATTTTTCAAATCTACAGGTTGATCTTCAGGAGATGGAAAAAGAACATTGAGGAAAAAAGAAAGCAAATAGGGATAGGATGACTGAATCTGATGAAGACATGTGTCAATCTCGTTTGAAGGCCGATCCGATGCTGCTATTGCCGTTTTGCAACTGTGTCATGCGACACAAAACGGAAACACGCGAGACATGAGAAAATAGAGTACGAGAGAAGGGGAGAAAGAAGTCGCCAAAGCAAGGATCATGGACATAGTGGGAAATAATGGCCAACAGACGTGCTATCGCCTATTAATAGGCTGTCACTTGGAAAAAGAAAAGAAGAAGCAGAAAAAGCCCAGCACTCCTTTACATGCATCGCTCAGACTCGCCAAGTATAATATTCTGCCTTGGCCCATGGATTCTTGTTCACATTGTAGTAGTATTCAGTCTTTGTGTTTTCATGGTAGCAGTACTGGCTTTCCGTTAATCCATCGGGCACAAGGAACATCGTACGGAACAGTTTGTCCGTTTGCTCATCCGGATCCATCTGATCGAATCGACATTGCTAAAGGCTGCTGTAGCGGCGGATCCGCGCATCCGACGTACGGGATGCATCTATTCGTTCCAACGATGCGGGTGGCCTCTGCGGCGGCCCAGCATAAGCTTACGAGCTCGCAGTGCTGCTACTGATCCGTGCATCGTAAAGGAATACCAGCACCGTCAAGGTGATGGAGTATGAGCGCTGATAATGGCAATAATCAGCGCAGGCGCAGCCCTACGACAGGTCGAGCGCCTAAAGGCAGTTGTATGCGGCGAGATGCCATGTTACCTGTCACTTTCCCCCCTGAATAGCTTATGAGTGATTGCTGTGTGATGAAATATATATAGCATATCCACCTTTGTGTGATAGACCATGCGGGCGCCAGTCATCGATTCTAGCCGGAGCATGACCAGAGCCGATCGTCCACCGAGGTCAGATTGACAGTTGGTTTCCCGGCACGAAGTTTGTCCAGTGCAAACATGTGATGCCTGTATATCGGATTGACGGTTAGGTACTCGGTCGTTGTTTTCGCACGCCTGTTAGTCTATAGCTTCCGAAAAGCGGGACAGCACAAACAGCAGTCCTTGATGCTGCGAATCTTACGACGCAGTCATCTACGCGGCAGCTTTCACGCCGACACCCCCACAAATAGGCTAGGAAAGATGGGCTCAAATTGGTGATGGCATGATTGAACTTTGCATTCATAGGAGAGAGTCCTAGCCCGGCACAACTCGCATTGTGCTTTCGTATCCATCTTTTCCTGTCACAAGCAAGATAGCAAGGCAAACAAGTGCCTAATTTTGAACTGTCCTATGAGAGCGCCTCATTAGACATAAAGCTCGCGAATTTCCTTGGTTGGCTCTTGATTGGTTGGCTGCTCCTTGAACTGATCCAACGGTAGGTCAAAGAGATTGGTCGGTAGATGAATACTTCACATCGAAGCCAAACAGGCATCTTCAGCTAGCCAGGGTAAAAGGGGTCACCCGGAGCCCGCTCTGGTCCAGTTTTGCGTCTCGCTTGACAAACTTCTCGGCTGCAAAGCGTGGCCAAGGGGGCGGTGATTGTGAAAATCATTTCGATGTCACAACTTGGCAGGCTGTCGTAAGGAGGATTGCAGTCACTCGCCACTCTTCTGCGGAGCTAGGGGTAGTCAAGCCAGCTTGTGCCCGCTTCCCTATCAACTTAGGTTGAAGACGTGGTTCGGGTGAACATGAATCTTGGGTGTTTGGATTGTTGGTTGAATCCGATAGCGCATCGTCCCTCAGAATTCCAACTCTTCCACCTCCATTCCGCACGTCACGCACGTCTTGACAGTCATGCCCTCTTCGTTCTCGACTGTTCGCCCCCATTCATGCACGTGTCGGCCCCCTCCGCCTACGGCATCGCCAAACTTGCTTGGTGCCCCATTCTTGTTGCCGAGTGTCCCTGCCTGTCGTCGAAACGCCTCTGTCCTCGTCTTTCGCTTTAGATCCAGCAGCTTCTCTTTGAATTTTGCCTCTTTGCGGGCCTTCTTCTGCGACTCGCGCCGTTCGTATTCCGCGTCCAACGCCTCGGCCGAACCCCATTTCGTGCCGATGGCATATTCTTCGACCTGAAACCGCAAGAAGAGCATCATGTCGTGCCAGTGGGATTTGTGCGGATTTGGCTTGTTCAAATGAGGAAGCAGTTCGGGGTCCCGCAGCTCGGCTGTCAAAAGGGAGGCGAAATCTCGTCAGTATTTCAAATCGTACCAATCTGCGTGAGAGAAGCGAGGTATGACTCACGATCTGTCAGGAGATAGTCTTCCTTGCACTCTGTTTTGGTCAACAGAGAATATTTTTCGGGATATTTATCTTTGCATTTGTTGCACACGCAGATGTGAAAGACTTCTTCCCACACAAAGTCAATCTCCAGACTTGCGCATTCTCGGCATATCTTCCTCGTCTTTTGGTCGTCCAAAACACTGATGCCCGGCTCAAAAGGACCTGCTTTTAGCCTCCTCAAGTTTTGTAGCGTTTTTTGCTTTTCCCATTCTTGGATCGTCATGCCCTTTGGTCTCTGCTCGTCTGCCTGACCGGGCTTCTGAACGCCTAGCGCATAGTTATGAGGGTCATCCTCCATGGAGAGGAAGCCGCCTTTTGTGTCCGTCATCGAGCTCATGTTGTAGTCTACAAATTTGGTAAACTTCTTTGCCGGTCGCAGGGCCGCCTCGTCCCCCACGTGACGCCCATCGCGGTTGTTGCCAGCCGCAATATCTCCTGTCGACATGTCGTTGAACGGCCGTTTTCCATTTGCGGGTTTCGAGACGTGCACATGTTCGGTAGGTATGAATCCAGCAGCCGACTTGGGAAGAACCTGCGCTGTTCCCGAGGCTCGCTGCTCGGCCTCTCGCTGTTCACGGATGGCTTTGGCTCGGAGGCGACTCTCTTCCTGTTGCATTTTTGTGCCCTGATTAGCCGACGAAGTTCTCTAGATCTCCGGTAAGCAAACGTACTATGCGCCTTGTCATCTCTGGGGTTTTCGATGACGCAGCTTGCGATTTGGTCGCAGCCGCCGGAGGCGTGACTGGACGCTCCATGGTTTATATGTCTCGAGATGTAGTAAAAGAACGATTTATTAAGACTTGAAAGCAGAAACTTGTAGGAGCTTGAATCTGTAAATGATGTACGGTTGAAATATGAAGCGCGGGAGAATGAGGCGCGGGAGGGGCAAAAGACGTGACTCTAGAAAATCGCCCACTTAACGCGAAGTAACGTGACTCGGTAACTTGAGGCAATGGCAAGGAATCAAGAAGTATTGGGTACCTGATTGGCTCTCAACACCTCTGACTTCATGATGGGCAAATGAAGGAAACACTACAAAACATGAAAGGTCACATCGGGATACGTTACTAAACATGCAAGATGCAAGGAATAAAGTGAGATGTCAGAAATTAATCATTACGGACCAGTATGATTAAAGATCAAAGCGCCAGATAATATATATCCCAAAACAAAGGTAGTACACATTATCGAATCCGAACCCGCGCCCAGTAGAGCCTTTTTTGCCTGCTCATATATGATACATCTATTCTGTAGTATAGAATCCTTCTACTCCTCCTTGGCACCGCCACGGCCGGCCTTCTCAGCAGCCTCAACGGCCTTCTTGTCGCTCTGGACAGTGCCGTTGGCACCCTGCATGGCGCTCATGAAGCCCTGGGCAGCCTTGAAAGGTCGCTTGAGATCGCCAGAGGCGGGCTGGCCAAAGATGTGGATCTTGGCAAGGTTGCCCTCAAAGACGGACTTGACGGGGATGATGCTCTGGATGACCAGGGGGTTGGTGTACTTCATGTAGAGGTGCATGAAGGACATCATGGCGATACCCATCAGCTGGCCGCGCCAGAGCTGGCGGAGCTGGTTGGAGTCGTAGGCGTGGATCGTGGTGGTGACGAGCTTGCCCTCCTCGGAAGAGCCCATGGGCGCGGGCTCGACGTACTTGAGGGTGGTCATGTCTGGACAAAGAAACGCATGTTAGAGGATGGAACAAAACAAAAAAAGGCAGCGATCCGAAAGCCTATGCTTTTGCGCGGCATATGCATCAAAGACCACCCATGAGTCAGACGTACCCTTCTTCTTGTTGATCTGGATCTGGATGTAAAAATAGAGAGCGGCGATGACGAGGTTGCTGCCAATGTAGATGGCGCGGACGAGGTTGAGCACGTTCTCGTCTTCGAAGGGGATCCTCTTGGTGACTTGCATCATACCAAGGATGATCATGAGGTTGGTGCTAGTCCCGAGAGTCAGCGAGATGCTCCAATGCATTGCGTGTTCCTCACGTCGCCGTCGTTTGTCGCGCCATGACTTGCGACGAGGCTTTTCGCTGCTTCTTTCTCCTCGTGCTTCGTGCCTCGCCCTTCGTCTCTCTGCGACAAACGAGCGCAACCGAATCGACTCGTGCGTCTACTTACATCTGAGGACTGATACCCATTGTGGCGGCGACTGCAAGGTGCAGTGATGGTCAAGAGAACAATCAAAGAAGGGAATGGCAAGCAGGAAAAGAGCCCGTGATGTTGGCTTGAGAGCGATGGAATGTTCCTCTTTGGAGGGGAAAAGGTCGATTCGTTTGTCCTTGTTATACCACAACTTTTTTTGGGGCTTCGCTGGCCTTTCCGGCGATGGGCACCACCTTTTTCCGGGGGCGAATCGGGGCCCCGCTCCCAGCAGATAAGGCCAAACAGCGGGCTTGTGAAGGCGTGCAGCCATTGAATTCTTTTTGTTTCCGACGCCTTCGATTGGGATTGGCTCTTGTTACTGTCTGTTACTGTCCCTTGAATTAGAACGTCCGTATTAAGGAATTACATACAAAAGACAACAGCACAGAACTATATCTGGCCAATGCCTCCAGCGCTCTCAAAGAGACTCAAGCCGTCAAAACCTCACGATTTCCGAATGCGTCGGATAAGACACTTTTCCCTCCATATTGCCTCTTTTGTTTCTTGAATCTCACGTGCGCGCGGAACCCCAATCTCCACGTTACCACTCGGGACTGTCAACGTCCTTTGTGTAACATTCCAGAAGCATCAGCCATGGCTCAGCAAAACACCAGCTTGACAATGGAAATGTCAACCATGGAAGTGGATTCCCACTCTTTTTTTTTTTTTTGTGATAACATGACATCGAATTATTGATGACTGCGCCTCCTGATGAATGAATTCCACCGCCCATGCGCCACAGAGATGGCCGTGATCATCTCTCTTCAAAGAGTGCTGTTGAGAATCATCCAAGCTTCTACTCCACCATCATGCAGGAGCAACAACTCTTCAAAGACCGCCGTTGAATTCTCAAGATGTTACTCCACCAAGATTCCAGAAACGGCGATGCTTCAAAGACGACCGCTGACAACTCTTGCATCATTCCCCCGTCTCTTCAATGGATTCTCTGCCAGTGATCAAAGGCTCAAAGCCACCACTTTGCCATCATGTTAGTGAGAGTTTCTAAAAAAACATCAATCGTCCACTTTCAACATCACCGAATGGGAATATTTAAGATGGAGGTCATCTCGTCGTTGGAGACTGTCCTCCTCTCTCACTACCTCACCAAGGAAACCATATCCAGATCCGCCACTACAGCACGATACATCCCTTCTGAGACAAGATATATGTTTACTCTTTGGAAGACAAAGTCCAAAACAACCTGCAAGACCAAGTCGAAGACAACGTCGAAAACCCTCTCGAAAATGTGCGGCGGCGGTCATTCTCACTCTCACTCTCACTCCCCCCGGGGCAGGGGTCGTCAATCCCACTCTCACTCCCACTCCCACCACTCTCACTCTCACTCAAGGGGAGGTGGTTGTGGCGGCCACAACCACGGCCACGATGACCACCCGCCTGTCGGCCGCTATGAACCGGAACTTGTCCAAATCGCCGTGCCGGAGCCAGAGGCAAAGCCATACGTATGCTTCTGCACCGGCCCATTCCCTCCGACACCTGCACCCACGCCTGGATGCTATCCGATGGTGTGCTGCTACACGGACGCACCGCCCAGTTGCAACTGGCCGGTTATGCCTCCCAATTGCCTCCCTGCCAACTGCCTCCCCCCTGCCAACTGCCTTCCTGCCAACTGTGTGCCATCCCTGCCACCGGGCAGTTTTTCATATGTCTGCCCTCCTCCCCCGGCTTCGGATGAGTTCAGACTCGAGGTGATCGACACCAGCGACGGAAGGAACCGCGCTCGCAACGGAGAGAAGTACACCATCACGATCGACTCCAAGGCCACCATTGACGACATCTTCTACATGGTCGATTGGGAAAACCAGAAGGATGTATCTGTGCGGTGGAAGAACGAAATTCTCGAGGAGTTGACCCAGCAGATTCGGGTGGGCGAACTGAGGCGCAATGCCAAGTGTCTTGTTGTGACGGACTTTTGCTGCGCTCACTAAGTATGCCGACTGAGTATGCCGACCGAGTTGCCTATGACGAGGCAGAATGGAGGAGACTGAGGAACGCGTGTTTCTGCATGGATGCTGTGACGACTTCAGCTTGAGATGACATGGTATTTCGATAGACTTTGTTTGAGTTTGAGTGGTTTTTGTACGGTAGTATTCGCATCTATTTTTATTCATGTTTGCTTGTTCGTTTGTAAGTAGCAAGGGCTAGCCTACCCTTATCAAGAAAAAGCACAACATCATTGAGTTTTCGTATTCCAATCGCCCGTCGTCGTCGTCATTGCAAAACCCCCCAAAAAGTTCCACCAGTCAGTCCTCGTTAAACTCTCCGATGTCCATCTCCCGAGACACAATGCAACACACACGCGCACATGGCAAGCCCCCCCCCCCCCCCCCCCCCTCTCTCCCCTTCTCCCCGCAAGGATGGAGAAGAAGAAACGAGACCAGGGGGTCGTTTAATGAACTGGCAGCAAAATCTCAAGCGCCATCTTGTTGTGCAGCGCCGTTGAAATGAGATCTATACAGTGACTCATGCACCCACTTTTCTTTAGGCAGAACACCAGGGTGGTTGACAGCCGCAGTTGACAACTTCTCTCACACAAAAGTTGCTGCTCTACTGTAGACTATAACCCCCCCAAGACCTCTTTCGCCTTGCCGTGGCATGTTTAACCCACCGGTTGGGCCCTGAGTAACGAAATCTGGCAATTACCGAGAACCCGTTTTGAGAAACTTGCTCCGCCTGGTTAGGAACTTTTTTTTTTTTCATCCCGCCGTGCTGTAAACTTGGTTTAGGCCCCCCTGTTCTTGCTAGAGTAGACTGAAGTCTGCATGTTCCTGTCTAAAAGCGCGCAAACCGTTGGGCTTCTCGAGACTCAATGACTCAAGACGAGATACAGCATTCGTGGAATACCCGTTTTAGCGAATAAATTGCATCTAACCTCGGCACAGTTGACAGATGTTCAATTACCTACTTTCAATCTGTTCTTCGGAAAATTTAGAAAAGAAGAGAAAATAGTTGAGAGCATGTGGCTTTTGGATGCCTGGAGAAACTGCCTACATGTATGGCTTGCACAAGTTGTCGGTTCTGAAAAGAGTTCGTATTGAGCCCAAGAGCGCGTGATTGACGGCGTTGCATGCAAGTGGCTGCATGAACGTCCTCGCGCCGGAATATTATCATCAGTGCAGTACTAGCAGAATGCACACACTTGCATGCACATGCATATGCTAATGCCAGAGGGGGGTGTATTATCAAATACGCTGCAAACAGTAACATGCTTACACTTTGTTGCCTATCTAGGTACCGATGCCCGTCCACTGCCCCAAAGAAGCCATCCGCCGTGAGCAAACAATAGAGCCCTTGAAGATGCCCGTACGTTCGGATCCGAATAGATTCTAGGGCGACCTTGCCCGGCACGGGGCTTCGGCTGTGGCGCAGGCCAGCGCCGCCACCGAAGCCGCCGTCTTGTCTGGAATAGTTCTGTTCAAGGTTCCCCGAACAGGATACCGACTCGTATCGTATGACGGGCTCGTATCGCGGGCGGTTAAACCTCTTGCATCCTCGTATCGTGATTCTGATAGCGCGGCACTTGAGAAGCAGGGCGAGAATAGGCGAGACGAGACAAGACGAATCAAGTAATACGGGCGTCTTGATTTCCTTTACCACCCGCGGCGGATTGGATAGGCTACCCGGTAAGCATAAGGCTCTGGGGATGAGACAGGAGATCCTCAGGCAGGATGACGACTGGCGCGATTCGGAATATCGGTGTAGTTTCTAGATAGTACCTGCATGTAGTGGCTATTTCGCTGGCCCCATGGTTTTCGAAGCAAGGCGGAGAGCGAGGTGTTATTTGCCATTTCCCCGCGGGGTTGCAGAGTGCCTTTCATCATGACTTGCCTTTTCTATGGTGAGGTGGTAAATGACCAATGGTTAGGCATACTCACCTTCGGCAGATGCGTTAAGATATCGTGAACACCTCCAATTACACATCAAATGGGAGCTATATCCGATGCACTGCGGCAAAAGCCTGATATCAGCTCTTCGCCTCGCGGATCACCAGGAGGATCCCCTCCGTCAAGATGCATGGCGGTCACAGTGAGATTGCCACGCCCAATCAACCGGGCACCCCCCCTGGTACTGTACGACTTATACGATCTGCTTAATAATACGAAGCCAAAGAGTAAAAGAAGTGATGGGAATCAAGACCTGAAAGACACCACAAACTCGTCATTGTGCTACGCGGTTGGCCATGCAGCCCTACGGGGCTCATGGGAATCCAACTCCGTATGACAGCATCGCATACCATCTCACCTCATACATACATACACATGGTGTACATGTGCTCCGTACTGTGACACAGCAGCGTGGGATAAGACAAGCGGAAGGATGAAGGCTAGCTGGCTCAGTCCATGCCGGGAATGCGACGCTACTGTACGGCTACTCTGCAGACTGCATTACTGGATAGGGCAAATATGCGCATATTCGCACTGGTTTGGTTCCGGAGCGGCGCAGGTGACCGGAATGGCTGTGCCTTTTCGCTCTCGGTCTGCCGGAACAAGACCGCCTCAATGCGCATCCTCGGCCTGGCGAGTGAATTGCAACGTCTGTGGTTTTCCTTTGGGTTTTATTTTTATTTCTTTTGTGTGTATATGTGGTAGAGACTGTGTCTTTGTTCTAATTAAAGAGCGCGCGGGGATGCGTTGGTACGGTACTCGTACCCCGTTGCGTCATACCGGGACATTGAGCGAGGTCTTTTGTCTTTTCTGTCTTGGGTGGACGGATCTAGGCCCTTTAGCTGATTGACCCCATGACGATGATTGACGCTGGGGATCAGGATACGTAAGGTATTCCCAAAGAGCAATAAGTGAACTGGATAGGTAACGTACGGAGATGGACCAAGCTGTCTGTCAATGTCACTTACCCATGACAGCCCAGGATCATTCATTAGTGCTCAATTCGTTATCGTGACAACTGTCTTCAAGTGTCTTGTCTCAGTCAATGCCCGCAATACGATGCGCCACGGCCCCCCAGCCAAGCCCTGCTCGCTTCACCCGCTTCATCGCAACTTAATCTTCAATCTCGCAGGGCAAACGAAACGAAACGAGGCCACGTCGAGAGCTTGCAGGGCCCGTGGTGCCGAAACCGAAACCGCTGACGGCACAGCCACCGTAAACCATGGTTTCTCAACGCCCTCGTTGAAAAGGCTTTGATGGCACCAGGCTGTTTGGGATCCTTGGCCTTGCGGACTTTTGTTGTGGCACGCAAGCCACGCCTGTAGACTCAGATCCTGCCTCTTGTATGTGTGCACCCTTTTTCTCTTGCACGACTCAGCAGTCATTGACTTGCCACTTTGCTGCAAGACATGGCGCTCGTGCGTATTGCGAGTTGCTGGGATGAATTGACACTTTTCCTCTGGTGTTGGTGTTCGTGGTCATTCGCTTGGTTTACATGCACACCCTCGAGGTATGACTCTTGTTCCGCCTTGTTTTTGTCAACCTTGTCTCTCTATTTTTTTGTTCTCTTTTCGTGTTTACCAGCTTCTAGACTCGTCTACTTGCAACTGACATTGTTTATTCCGCCTCATTCTTTTTTAATCGCTCAAAGACACCGCCGCTTGAGGCATATTGTCTACCTCTACATGTACCTATCCCCAGCGCTCTTCTGTCATCAGGGCAATGATGCACAGCACAGCTTCAAACAGCGCTGTAACCACTTTAACCCCCCCTGTAATACTGCCACTCTCCTTCGGGCAGCCCCACCCGCGGGAGCCTAGTTCTAGCGCCAAGAGCTGCTCCACCCCTCATTACAGTGGCTCCACCGCCTGCCGCATCCGCTGCCGGCCCTGCTGACAAAGTCGCGCTCCGGCCTATCACGGCGCCCGGATTCTTTTCCTTCAATCTTGGTGCCATGAACCATCTCAACCTTCGATTTCTTCCATCATCCGCATGATACGCCTAGGCGCCGTCGTTCGTTGGCACAGGCAAGAAATCAGGCTGCCGATGCTCCCACGCCCCCCTTGATCTGCTCGGCCTTACTGTACTGACTCCCCTCCCCCCAGCCACGAGCAGCATGGCGCTCCCGGATCTGGCACGACCCAGACAGAACAGACAGTCACAAACCATGCCTTGGCCTCTTTTTTCCCTTGGTGGAATCGATGGAGCGGCCAGGCCAGGGATAACCGCATCTGCAGTGGAGAAGGCGCGCGGCTGCCTGGCTGGCTGCTGTCAAATCCTCCGGCATCCCAATCGAGATATAAGAGGCCTTGTTTGGCCTGAATTAAAAGGTTGACTTCACTATCCATCCAGTCACTACATTGAATCCCTTCACATTATATCACGGCTATGATACGCATACCATATAGGGCTCTTGACCAAGTCTTGCATTGAACCGTGGCATCTCTCGCTACTCTCTCTTTCCTACTTCTTCTGGCTCTATCAATGGGAAGATCTGTTGGCTTGCGACTATCTCAACAACACTCGTTCTCTTGTTTAGACCTATAGCCACTGGATAGGATAATTGAAGCAACCTAGTTCTTCTCTCTTCTCATATCCAGCCTTGCCGCTTCACCACTACTACACGAGCACAGAGAAAGCCTAGCACAGCCATTAACCATGTTCAACACCTTCAAGTACGACCCCGAGACCAAGAGCGTCCAAGAGCTCAGGCGGGCCTCAGACCCCATCTCTGCTCGATCCAGTCAGCACCAAGCTTGCAACAACTGCCACGCCAAAAAGGTAACAAGACGCAGCATCATGCCACTGCCGAGCAAGTCCTCTCCTTGTTGTGTATCCGACGCTAACCTCCTATCCCCTTCCACCAGCTCAAGTGCAGCGGCGACAAGAGTGGATGTGAACGCTGCGTCGCTAGCCAGCTCGTCTGCGAATACACCCGCTCTCCTTCCCGCAGAGGCGGTAGAAAGTCCAGCGGCAGAAATTCCACTGATAGCCGCGAGTTAACCGGCGGCGAGAGCAGCCCTGGCAGCCACTCTGGCAAGTCA